CATGCAGCAGCAACAATCGCAACAACAGCAACAACCTCAACAAGTTGCTGTCGCCTCTGGTCAGCAAACTATTACTATGCAGATGTCATCAGATGGATCCAATGGGGGCACTGTGCAACTCCCTCATTCATCAGCTCCAATGACAACTATTGAGGTATTTAATTATTCTAAGAATATAGCTTTTTAAAATCTTATAAAAAAAAATCATTTTTCTGTAGACATCAGGTCAAATGCAAATTTCTACTATTCAACCACAGCAACAACAACAGGGTCAAGTGCAAATGACCAATATACAAGCTCAACAACCAGGACAAGTTCAACAGCAACATACTATGCAGGCACAGACACCTACTCAACAACAGCAGCAACAAACTCAAATTCAACAGATCAATGACTGGAGTCATGGACGTGTTCAGTTAATTCAACAAGCTGGCCCTCAGTTTGTTCAGTACAATGCACAAGGTCAATTAATTATGCCCGGAACAATGTTGCAACATCCTACCTCTGGTGCTATACAAGTGATTGCAGCTCCTAATAAACAATTTCAGTCACAACAGATGCTCACCACAGCACATGCACATAAACAGGTAATATCACAAGGACAGGCAACGTCATTTCCGACTGGATATGCTGCTATACCAACCACTACTAACCAGACTCTTGTCATTGGCCAGTTAGGGGTGATAAGTAGTCAACCAAATATGAAACAAAATGAAATGCAACAAACAGTACGTACTATAGACTTTTTTAATATGTTCTGTTTTATTTGGAAAATGTTTTTTTAGTATACAAGTTGTGCCACTGGAAGAACTGTACAACAAAATGCTCAAACAATGCAGTTTTCACCATGGCAATTTAATGCATCACTTCCTCAAGGACTCACTTGGGCTACACCACAACCTCAAGCACTATTGACACAGAATCATCCAATTTTTATTAGAGGTGAGTCAATAAATAATAACTATCTAGTTAAAATTATAGTGTGGAATCTTATAAAATATAACTTTATTTTTCTAGTACTAATTTAGATAATATAATAAATTAATTATCTTATAAATAAATCAAGAATTTTTTAAAAGAAATTTATTAAAAAAATATATTTACCTGAAGTTAAATAAAAATTATTAATTTGTAATTAAAAGAAAAATATTATATTCACCTTTCAAAATATACAAAATAAAGTTGTATTTTTCAGTTTTTTATGAAATTATCATTATTTGATTTATAGTTTATTTAGCAAATTGTTAGACCATTCCATTGAAAATTTTTCTTACAGTATGTACCTAGTAATTATAGTCGGGGACACGAAAATTGGCGTGTGATCTTTGTTGTACACTGACTCACCCTGTCTGCAAAAAATGGTTCTCGATTTGTGACGTTTTTTTGTGCGTATTATAAAATGAATAATTTTAATTGGCAAGCCAATTGATTTTAGAGTTTTGAGAACACATAAGACGATTTAACCATTAGATCGCGGCTGTCACATTCCATTTTTCATGTTCCCGACTATTAATACAACTGACATACATTATAAAATCTAAATTGTAATAAGTTAATTTCATGTTTATCTGCTAATTTCACACTGTTCTATTATTAAAAAAATATTTTTCTTTCTTAAATAATGTAATAGTAACTATTAATTTTATTGTCCAGGTGCACCTCAGCAAGATGGTCAGCAACAACAAGTTCAAACTCCTATGTTTATACAAAGCCCTCCCCCTCAACACCTTCAACAACACCATGGTCAAACTATGGTGCAAACCAGTGGTGGTGTTATGCAAAATATTGGGCAAATGGTTAGTGGTACCACAACTACTACTATTAAATCACAACGAGCTGATATACAACCCAAAGTTGTTACAACGCCTAATGGTATGGGTAATAACAGACAACTTTCTATATTACCATCGGGGCATACAATCCGCCCCAATGCTACAATTTCTACTCAAACCTCTACTGGTATACAGCATTTAAACCAAATGCAAAAATCTCAACTGAAAGTTAGGCCTAAGACTGGTGTCCGTCAAAGTTTTAGTATTGCACCTCATAAATCAGATGCTGCTAATCAAACTAATCAAACCAAACCTCTTCAGTCTCCTCAACAAACTATGAACACCAATAAGTAATTATAAAACAAATATATGAATGAACAAATTATAAATTATTTTATGTTTTAGAATGATTTTAACAAGTTCTGGACAACTTGTACCACAAATACAACAACAACAACAGCAGCAGCAGACTGTGCAAGTACAACATTTACAACAGCAACAACAAGCTCAACAACAAATTAAATTAGTTAGTATGCAATCACCAAACCATCAAATTGTGAGCATGCAATCGCCTCAAGTTGCATATCAACAACAACAAATCATAAAACCCACCACAAATGTAATGAGTATGTCCATGAATTCTCCACAAAAGATACATATACATCAGCTGCAACAAGGCCAAGCTATTGTTAGTAGCCAGCCTCAACAACAAATCACTATTCTTGATCGTCCTGTCATACCAGTTGTTTCATGTGCCCCTCAGGCTTCAACACAATCTCAGCTTTTAATTTCTCCCCAAGTTCAAACATCAACTTCATCAATGCTCCCACCAATTAAACCTGATGAATCTCCAAAGACATCCCCAGCTATTCAAACTAATGAAACATCAGCTGCAGTGGTTTCAATACCAGAAAACACTACTGAAACAACTGCATCAGTTTCGTTACCTGTTACTTCTAACGAAGACAATTCTAGGGATAAAGGATTACCTAAAGCTTTAGTAAAACCTCAGGTTTTGACCCATGTTATTGAAGGCTTTGTGATACAAGAAGCAGATCAACCATTCCCAGTAAATCGATCTTGCACTATAGCAGATATTTCCAATAGTGCACAGGATAAGGAAAACATAAAATTGGACGAAGAACCGCCAAGTACTAAAATTCAATTATTTTTCATTTTTTGCAATTATTAATAATTATTTTTTACAGATAAAAAAAGTAAAACAGACAATAACAATCCAGACAAAATCAAGTGTGACTCTTGTGGAAAATGTCAAGAACTACAAAAATTCAAAATTAAAAAGAAATCAAAACGTTTTTGCTCACAAGAATGCTCAAAGGTATTTGAAAATAGTTCAAAAACTGGACAAACGGACAAAAAAAATGGAAAAAATTGGGTATATATTTTAATATTGTTGTATGTTATTTAAAAATACTAAATAATTAATGTATTAATTATATTTATTGGGAATGTGAAAGCAATGGTTCAGCTGGTGATTCTAGTAATACTGCCTCATCACTTGATTTACCTAATCGAATGCAAATTGATGTTGACACTAAGATAGATGTGGCTCCAGAATTGTGTTCTATTAATCCATTGACATGGACTGTAAGTTATTTTATTTTTATTTTTATTTATTATACTTAAATTGACATTATTTTAGGTAAAAGATGTACGGAAATTTATTGGTCAACTAACAGACAGTGAAGAAATAGCAGCAGATTTCGAAAGTCATGAAATTGATGGTCAGGCTTTGATGTTGCTCAAAGAAGATCATTTAATAAGAGACATGTCTATGAAACTTGGACCAGCATTAAAAATATTTGCAAAACTGGATGCCATGCGTACTGAAAATCCAGAACTTCAACCTCCAGCAACTTCACAATAAAATTCTTTATGCTCTCATACACTATTATACTTCTTACAGTATACATTTTTATATAATTGATTTTAACATTTCCAAATGTTTTTATCTATTTAATACGTATGTACAAACCAATGGTACTTATTGGCATTAAGACTTATTATAACCATGTCATTAGAGTACTCAATACTGTTAGTGGTTTTATGTAGGTTTTTGACTTTTGTTTAAAAAAAATTGTAATTTTCAGTCTTAACCCCTGTTTTTTCCTGTTTATAAACTTCTTTTTTCTTAACATTCTGTAAATTAAATTGAATTAAATAAGCTATTTTTTTTTACCTTAAGATTTTATAATTTTTGACTGTATATTAATGTTAATTTAAATTATTTTATACAACAATTTACTGAAAAAATATATTCTTTAAACTATTTTTAGTATTTTTATTAAATTAAAATATTTTTGATCAATGTAAATTTATACTTGTTTGATAAGTTGAATTTGGATTGGTTCCTTTATGTGTTTGTGTTAGGAATGGTTTTTATTGTCATATAAATATATAATAATATGTCCTTAGTCACAAAAATATATGCATACTAGTTTATGTTTTCTATACAAGTTATTTTTAGCAGTAAACTAATATAACTTGTAATATTTTAGTTAGAATTTAGTGTATTTACTAAGATTTTTTTTATGAATTATATATTAATTGCATATTGCTATCAGTGTTCATAACTACTCTTAGTCTTAAAGATTTGCATTATCTATACGAATAATATAATTTATAGTTATATTGTTTGATGTATTCAATACATAAGTTATTGTAAGATTTGTTAAGTTCTGTTTAGTTTGAAAACCTTATGTCGTATATTAATTATGTGTTCAAAACACGGTTATAAGACTTATGTTTTTTCCCCTTAGAAAACATTTTTTTTTTTATCATCCAGGTATTTCATATCAGCCTTTGATTACTATATGACATTAATACAAATTTTAAGGATAAAATAGATTATTGTTATTTTTAATAGTTCATGCAGGTCTAATTTTTAGTTGTTGTGTTCATTTACTATAGTGCTAAGTTAATTACCTTGAATATTTTTATAATATATAAATAATTGAATTGATAAAAAAATTTGTTTTTATTTAACACATGCAAGAATATACAACACCTAATTAACTAGTTAACCAAGTCTTATGTAGCATAATATAAAATGTTATACTCAATTATTAGATAATAAATAGAAATCTTTATTTTTTTATTATCTGTAAACAGTATAAACAAATATATATAGTAAGTCTAATCTCATTAGTTTTTATTTAAATATAATTTAATAAAATATTACAATTGATTACCAACAATAATTAAAGGGTAACAAACATATTGTTCTCATATAAATAAAATACACGTTGAAAAATAAAATACTATAATTTAAAGGGTAACTAGTTTTAAAATTAATAAATTTAATTTGATATAATTCACATAGTATTGTATAGAACAAAGTTTTATACACTTATAGTATTTGGCAACTTAATTTGAGATGGTGTGGATGGTCTAAATGTAACATAAGTATAAAATAGACTACCAATAACACTGATATTGATACCAATGAAATTATTCAATGTGTACACATAGTCACCACCAATAAACATACCCATATAAGTAACAAATATATTTTTAAGACATCCGATAATTGTTGTTGTCAGAGCTGAATTGTATTGAGTACATAACATTATGCTATAATTTAAAATAAAGCCCATTATAGATGAGATGAAAATTTGGATTAAAAATGGTATATGCAACCAATAACTGAACCTGAAATCAAACAAAATGTTAATGATTTGTTTGTTTTTAAATGAAAAATTATATGCAATTTTCTACCTGTATACTTTGTCTAGATCACCCGAAAAATACAGCAATATTAAAGCGGGCGGTATCATGAACAAAGATGAATAATACATAAGTCCATATTTGCCCATTTCTTTTTTGGAGTTCAATTTTTTCTTTGTAAATACTCCATTTGCGGCAGTCAGGAAATCATTAAACAGTACAAACATGTATCCATTTAAATTGAATCCCAAGTCGTTACTTGCTGCTATAATTGCACCAGATACCATCATGCCAACCGATATCTTGACAGAAAACTTGGGCCTAATGTTGAGCAAATAGTATTCACCCAACATGGTTATCAGTATGGAGAAACGTCTTAACATGGTGAACATTGGCAAGCTTAATTCTTTGGTTCCACCTAAACCAAACTCCATATTACCTAAATATATCAAAGGCATTGGAAATGTATCTTTAAATGTGTGTCTATTTAAATCTGGAAATTTCAGTTTTCCAAGACTCTTGGCTATAAACAGTACAAAAATTGTCATAAACATTTGGCAAATGGCTAGAAACTGGAAGGACGGAAATCCATAACTGGTAAGTACAGATTTATTTACTACAGTGATCAACATAGATGCAGCGGCATAGAAGAGAGCTGTACTAATTTTTGAAAATGACGTGATAATTGATGAGTCTTCAACTAGAGTTTCTTCATCCTTGGTGTTTGTGCCTACCATTTTTAGTCGTCTACACGTCCTGACTGGCTATCACATGTTAACAATACACTATGGAAAACAAAAAAATGATAAACTGAGTATTAATTGGAATATTCATCTTTTAAGTAAATATACTGTAGGAATATAAATGTATATATATATATATATATAGGTATTAATGCTATATTTTGATTTTACCTTAATTGGTAGTTTAGATACTGTTTGCATCGTGAAACAAAAATCAAAATCGTTTATAAAAGCCATATGATGATTTCGTAAGTCCACTGAACAAAATGAAGATGTTCTATCTTCATTTTCTATGGTCACCTATGATGTTATTTGTACAAGTGGTATCCTGACACTTCAAAATTATAGTGTTATCGTGGTGTTCATGATTATCGAGTAAATTTTAATGTTTTCGTCTAATAAACTCGATCACCAGAAACTGTTAATCGAGAGGAAAATAGGAAATGAGCTGAATAATGGACAATAGACATTTTAATTTTTAATTCAGTTATTTTAACTTACATTTTCTGAACTGTAACAGTGTAACGATATAGTAAAATTACTAAAATTGTATTATGAATATTATGATAGGTCATATAGATAACTGATAACTTATCTTCAACCGGACAGGTGCACCAATATGTTTATAATGTTTATATGCTTATGAACTAATATGAAGCAAAAAGATTTAAAAAACCTTTTTAGATATAAAAAATGTGCCGTCATGATTTGTAACTACGTCTTCTTGTAGCCGCTGTACATAATATACAATATACATAATACATAGTGTAATATATATACTTAAATGAATGTATGTAATATTTATAATCTATAATCTATAGACACCAAATTTTGCACACACATTACTTGAAATTTGAATCAATTGAATCGTTGATTCTAACGAAGATTTATCTTTGCTTCCTTTTTAAACCCGTATGAATTGCTATAGGGCTGAAGCATTAAAAGCTCGTGTATAAATTATGTTTTAACTCGCGAAAATCATCAATGTCCATATGCTTGTGGCTTTTAAGGTCAAAGCCTACTCGATCTAATTTGACGAACATTTCAAAGGTTGTTTTCGAGATATCAAGAAAGACTAGAGCAGTAGTATTCAATCATTTGCTGCGACACAAATCTCAAATCTATCGTGATAATATATGGTTTTATATTTATAGACTTAAAGAGTAGTTCTATAAAAACAAACATACTCATTAATTCAAAAAATTTTTAGTTTGAACCATGTTAGAAAAGTGATCAAGAACTAAATTCAATTCACCACAAAAGGATTGCCCATCTCGACCTTATTATTCTACAAACATTGGTATGGCGTTGTCGATTTTCTGTAAACCAAGGTACCTAACTACTTGAACAAAAACCGAGATATAGGTACTGATATTATAGTGCCATGGTTTATACTTGTTAATTTTTTTTTTCGATAGTGAAATTTGGTTATTAGATAGTATTTTATATCATATACAATATGTTTCCATATAAGTACTGAATCTAAGAAAAAAAGACAAAGTGAAAAACTTCAAATGTTTTTGTACCTACTTACAAGGCACAATTTAATTTTCTTATGTAGGTACCTACCTTAAAAACAATAATTTTCGTTGAATTTACTGATTTCTGATATAGATACTAATATACTATTCGGTGTAAACGAGTTAATATGGAAGTTCAATAATTAAAAAGTTATTAAAAACTATATTTCATTTTACATAATACCCATCTCTCCACTTCCTCCTAAAATTGTTTTCAGTATACCTACAAACACGTTTAGAAACAATTAGTGTTTTATAGTTTTTATACTATTATAGGTTCTATATAAACATTAAAAAAAAATATATATATATAGGAAGGTAGGTATTGCATTTTGTACTATAATTTATAGCCAATGATAATATAATATAATAGCATTAATATTTATACAGATTGTATTTCATTTTCATAGGACATGGGAAAACTTACAATAAAAATATCCTTTTGATAATTCTACTTGGATAATTATTTGGAGTAGAAAACTGCGGTTACCTGTTGACAATATTGGCAATATGCCTGATGGCTGATACCACCATAATAATAGGTACCTAATTAATATCTAAATTAAAAGTAATAGAAAAGGTTGGCGACGATTTTTAAAAATTGTGTCCATTAAAAAAAATTGTTTTGGTAAATAATGATAAAATATCACGTTAAAATATGCTTTCAAACAAATAATAACTTTTATCTAAAATTAATTTTTCTGTAATGTATAGAGGTACGATTTAAACATTTATTTCATATTAGCACCTATATTGTATGATATACATCTATAATAAATACACAACACCAAATCTAGATTTTATTTTAACGAATGATAAATTTTAATACTATTGTAATCAAGATGAGAATCAATAATGAGTACAACGAAAGTAATTCAGTTAATTTTTGATATATTAACGATTAATAACAAAACAACTAACAAATATATAATTATTTAGAAACATACGTAGTTGAATGGTTCGAGTTGTACAAGAAAAGCATTCAAAATTTTAAAGCATTTTATTTTAATGGCACTTACCCATACAGATCGTTTTCACCGAAAGTTGTCGAATTTATATTTAATCTTGCTGATGAATTTGGTATGGATAACACTGTCAAGTATAAATGTGTGGAATTATATGATAGGTAATAAAAATATGATTTAATTTTAATAACATTTTAATTATTTACCTAAATGAAATTTTTAGATTTTTATCTGAATATTTCATTTACAAACACAACCAAATCTATTGTAATCATTCTAATAAATGGCTAGAAGTTTTAAAGCTATGTAAGAAACAATCCTATCTACGAATTATGTCGTGCATGCAATTGCTGTCCAAGTATACTAAACAATCTTTGGTAATTTATGTATAACAGTCGACATCCATATTTATAGTTTAAATATTTACTCTCAAATTTATGCTGAAGGACTATAATTTATTAAATAAATAAATATGAATTTAACAATTATATTGAAAGTTATGATAATTGGTAGGTTTTTACATTTTAATAAAAATTATCATGTTTATGCAGAGTCTTAAATTAAAAGATATCAAAGCTATACTACAGCGAACTGGGCATATATATACAAAAAAAAAATATTCGTTATTCAGAAGCTGAAGTCTTTCGCATAGTTGGTTATAAGGTTGAATTTTAAAATTATATTATAATGAAAATAAAACTTCATTTATTATAACAATATTATATTGATTTAGTTGAATGAACCATCAATATTTATGTTGGTCGAATATTTTATTGATGTGATCCCATTCATTACTACAGATAGTCTGTATTCTACATGCTTATTGCTAACAGATTTTGTTTATATTTATCAACAAGAGCTCTATGATCGACTTCAATATCAAAATACAAGTTATAGAATTTATACTTACAATGAAAAGTAAATAAGAACACATGACTTTAAAGTTTTATTATTAACTATTAAAATATTTAATTGTATGAAATAAAATAAACTATTGATACTTGCTTCTTTATTATTAGATTAGAATTACTTGATATTGAGTATGACAAAATAACTACAGCAGCAGCTATTGTTGTCACAGCTTTTTATATGTTGAATTCAACTGATAAAACAAATGAAGAAATATGTTTGTATCTATCAACTTTATGTGAAAAGTCAATTGACTATTTATTAACAATTTCAACTATTCTAATTTCAATCATCAACTCAATTAGCACAGAATTATAATTTAAAATAAACAATAAAGTGCAAGTGTATTTATTAAATGTTTTTTTAATAAGTATCTAAATCATAATTAATATATATATTACCCATTTCATTTATTATATAATGAATGGTTTTTTAAATTACAATATTTAATATTTTTACATTGTTTGATTATAAAACACAAATTAATAATGAATATACATTACCTGTTACATACAGTTATAAATTATTATATTAAAAAAATATTTTGAAATTTATGTTTATATTTTATTAAATAAATTACCATATTAATAATTATATTACTTATACTTGAATAATTTCAAGATAATTTAAAATATTATAAAATAAATTTACAAGTGGTTTTTTTTTTTTTATTTAAATTATTATGTTATTATAATTTGTTATTTGACTTCCTATAGTCTAATTTAGGTTGTATAAAAATTAATTATAAACACAATTTTCTCATCAAAATAAGCAATTTAACTTTTACTCGGTATTATTAAGATAAATAAAATTCTTTAAATATCATTTTTTTTTTTTTTTTAATGTGAACACAAATCATTTTTTATTTATTCTGTGTTAAAACTAAACAATCATTATAAATGTTAATAGACATTAGATAACATAATAAATTACATGCTAAATCATATCTAACAGTCACATTTGTTCCTAAGTATTATAATTTATATATTCATTACATTAAATGTACACAATAGTAAATTAGGTTAAACAAAAATATAAATAGTTAACATTAAATTAATATGGGTTCTCGTATAGTATTTCTTCATTAGATTTAAGTTTTCTAGAATAACACAAACCCAATTTATTCATTACTTTTTCTGTAGCTTCGAGAACCTATACACACAAATAAATATACTTTAATAATCAATATATAAATACATGTTAATTAAAATTGTAGTTAATAAATATAATGCAAATAGAATGTTTAATATTGTACTAAATTATAACAATTTTATTAATATTATTTTAAATATTTTTACACACTATTAACATTATTAATCAAGTATTTACATAAATATATTTATTACTAATATTGTTAATTTATTAAATATATTGTTCAGATTTAAAGTTAATTATTAATTTTTAGCTTTTAATAACATAAATAAACAATTTTTTTGTAATTGTTTTATTTTTTTTGTATTTTTAAAAATCGGAAAATATCTTTAAAATAAATAAGTAAACATAAAAATTATCGATGTTATAAATAAAATTAGATTATTTTTTGTTTTAGTTATCATCTGTGATCGGAAACATAATCGTTAATTTTTTTTAAATTTCAACAAAATTAAAAAAAAACTAAACACAGATAAATTTTTTAAAAAAAAAATTATTAATTAAACAGAAATATATGCTGAAGAAAAATGTATAAAAATAAATATTCAAATATAATATGATATAAAATTTTTCACATATCCTTTAAAGTTAATACGATTAATTTTAATCTAATTAAAAGAAATATGTAAAAATATGAAATTGTAATAGTTGCATAAAGAATTGCTCTTTGTTTAAAAGTATTCATACACATTACACATAATATATAATTACTTCATCGAGTTGTTCCTTAGACAAAGCAGCTGACATACAAAAACGAATTCTCCCTTCAAGTAATGGAGTAGCTGGAAAACCAACACCAACCGTAGCTATATTAAATTTATTGAACTCTCTAACTGTTGCTCTAAAACAAATAAAAATTGGTGTACAATTATTTATGAAACATGTTAACATTTTGTCAAAAATGACAGTATTATTATACTTACCCAACTTTGGCTATCATATATACCAACATAGGAATAACAGGAGAATCATCATTTCCATATACTACACAACCTAAAGCTTGAAGTTTCCTTCGAAAATATCTGACATTACTTGCAAGTTGGATAATCCGTTTTCTACCTTCTTCTCCATGTTTTTTCCCCATTATCATTGACATAGATGTTATAACTATTTGAGCTACAGGTGGAGCCATAGAAGTAGCGTAACATGAAGCATGACTATTAACTCTCAAATAGTCAATTAAAACCTTTAATAGTCATCAGGACAGTAATTTAATTTAATGTGAACATCAAATATTAATGTAAATAAAAATCACATTAATTATAATATTTTATATATACTTTACTGCCAGCTATATACCCTCCAGCTGAACCAAATGATTTACTAAATGTGCCCATTAATATATCAACATCTTTTGGATTACAGTTAAAATAATCAAATATACCTCGACCATTTGGTCCTAAGGCTCCAACACTATGAGCTTCATCAACATATAAATAAATCTATAATGTATTTTTATTATTATTTCTATTAGAAATTTATAATATAAATAAAATATATTGAATAATTATTGAGATAATTGATAAATACTTGGTATTTTTTTTTAATGGCAATTATATCTGGAAGGTTTGTAATCGATCCTTCCATGCTAAAAATGCCTTCAGTAACAATAAATATTTTTTCCCAAGGTTTTTGGGTTTTCGGTTGACCAGAAACAATATTTTCACGTACTAATTGTTCTAAATTTTTAACATCTAAAAAAAAAATATTTATTATTATTTATAATATAGTTATTAGCAATAAAAATCTTTATAATTTATAAATGTTTTGTTAAGTTTTATAATTTTCATTACTTAGAACTGTTTGAAACATCTTAGGCAGTTAGATAGGTGCAAATAGAAATTAAATCATAACCTGATAAGTTTTGGTCAAATGTATTAAATAAAATACATTGATGTTTTAAAACTACTAATTTTATAATTTTATAAATATTTAATAAAAAATACCATTATGCTTATATACTATAGATGTAGCTCCTGACAGTCGTATTCCCAAAATAACAGATGCATGATTATATTCATCACTTAGAACTAAGCACTCAGAATTTATGATAGCTGGTAAATTCAGAGCATTAGTGGCAAATCCCATTCCAAACACTATAGCATCTTCAACGCCTAAGAATTCAGCTGTTAGTTGTTCAAGCTCTAAATGAAGATTGTTGGTTCCAAGTTCCTGACGTGAACTACCAACTGCCCAACCGTAGTCCTTTATTATGTCTTTAGTATCTTCTGCACACGGTCCTTTATTTTGAGCAAAACCTAAGTAATTATATGAACCTAAATTCAGAAAAGTAGATTTTGTGTCTAGAAGCCTGAAATATGTTAAATTTTTATTATTTATTCAAACAATAGTATATAATAATAAATATATAATGATAAAAAGTTCTTACTCAAATGACCAACAACTGTCATGAGTTACCCTATCAATGATATTAATTTCTGCACCTGGTACACCACAAACTACTCGATTAAAACAGTCTTTAACTCGTCGAAATACATACCTCAAAAATATGCTATCAAATTTATTGTACAATGGTGGATAGCCCTTAAATTTATTAATGTATAGTAATCATTATAAAATATACTAATAAATTTATTTTTACCTTTCGATTTTTTTCAGTAGCTACTTTGGGAGTAAAAATGATATGATTTATAAGTCCAATGAAAATCAAAAAATAAAATCCTATAGATGACATAATTGATGTATAAAATGGCATTTTCTCGTATGATTCTTTCATACTATTTAAATTGTCATGGATCATTTCCTGAAATAAATTAAATTATACTAAAGGTATCAACAATAAATTTCATGTTCTAAAATAGAGAGTAATAGCTAAGTAGGTACACACATTTTTAATTTTTTCAAAAACATTTAAATTAATTTTTATTATAAAAGCTTATAAAATAAAATATGTGAATTGGTTTCACAATTTATTTTTTCTTGTAAATTATTATAAGTATCTTACCTTCATTTATTTAAATTATTTTATTTTAAAATTATACATAAATGAAATAAAAATAATATGTTATACCTTTTCTAAAGATCCTTTTAAATTTGGATAATTAAGGTATAATTTGTTTAACACTGATGCCATTATGTTTTACCACTGAGTGTATACTTCTTTTTTTTTTTTATTGTCCAAATTAATTGTATGTACTTTAAACAAATAATTTTGGAAATAAAACTGAAAAATATAATGATATAATATTACACATTTTATGCTAGATTCTAATCTAAATTTTTCTAAATTAATTATTTATGAAGAACTTATACCTTTTTATAGTTTTATTCTTATCTTACTCTGTGATTTTATTATCATTTTTAAATTTATGACAGAAATTTAAATCACAATTCAAAATGAAATATGAATTATGAATTATGAACTACGAATATAATTCATGTGGCAATCTGGTATTTTGAACTGTATAGTGTATAGTATATACTAAATCCTATAAAATACCATAAAGTATAAATACTGTAAAAAATAAATTATAGGCGTTATGACAGCTCATTTTCATAGACAGAGTATTGACTATTGAGTAATTAATTACTCTAATACTCAATGATTATTTATTCATTATTACTTATTAACAGTTGACACGAACGTCACGAACATATAATAGTAATCAATAATCATATTATAAGATATAATAGAAATTAAAATAATAGATTATTGACGTGTTTATCAATTTAAGCGAATGTGATAACATTATAATTTAGAATTAAATTCAAAAAAATAACGATTCGTTTAATGCAGGTTAGCCGTATATGAAAAATTTTAAACATATTTTGGCTATATAATTATGGGTAAATAATATGAATGAAGAATAATAAAAGTCCTCATTATTTATGCACAATAGACTTACGATAAATATGATAAAAATATAAAAAATTGTAATTACTAGTTTATTCACCGAGTAGATTTGTTATTAATTATTTTTTAAATATTAAAAATGTACCATTTTACGATTTTTATATTTTGTTTGTGGCCAGTAAAATAATTGTTGACAGTTGTAATCCTGCATAGTGCATTGCAGACTTCGACGAGCTTCAAACTGCTTATTGATTGTCCACTGCTCAGTTATCATATCAGCTGGTATGTCGCATGAACGTACGGTCTTGAGGAGTAGACAATTTTTGATATTTTAATACCAAATTTTACGCAATTTGTCTAGTCTTACTTTTATACCAAAAATTAAATACTTAGTATTAATTCATAGTTCCTTTGTAGATTTATCAATAATTTGCCTAAAAACTGCACACTATCCTATTTAAAAACCAGCTTTAATTGTGCACTATATATCTGACAACAATTATACGATGGAAAATCAGAAACTATTGGATTTAGAAACCGATAAAACAGAAAACGATCAGAAAACTATTTCCTCGGATATTGATGATGGGATGTTGTCTGAAGAGTTAAAACACAAATATGAAAATGCTATTGATGATGACCTTTACAATCTAACTGAGAAAGTAATTAATACTGAAAAACCACCTCCACTTGAAAATACTTATGAAGTAATTGATCAGGAATCTAAAACTGTTCATGACGTCCAGGAAGAAGCTGAAGATTCAAATATATCTGACGAAGAGAAAGATAATTTATTTGAAAATGATCCAGTATGTTATAAAAAAAACGAGGATCTTGGAACTCTTCCACCAATAGAATCCCCAAAAGCAGAAGAACAAGTATCTTCTGAAAAACTTGAATCTATGATAACAAATGTTACTAAAACAGCGATCATTCAGGAAAATGAACCTGTGGATAATGTACAATCCAAAGTAAAAATTTCAGATATTCCAGAAGTCATTCCAAAAGTGTCTACTAAGAAAGATTCTGATGAAGGGGATGTATGTGACATAAAGATTGGACCTGATGAACTATTTTGTAGAATCGGATTAGGTAAGATTAAGAGATTTTAATACAATTATTGATAATAATTTTGTTTTGGTTTAAAATTTTAAGGAAAAAATAAATTTTTTCGTGGTAGTATTGCTAGCAAAGTGATACATTTGCCCATTTCAATCTTTTCATCAAATATTCAGTTTTTAAATTTTGCAAAATCAGATTTTCAAATTATTTAGACAAGTTTAAAAAGATTTGGATAAAGTGAAGTTGATTTTCTTCAATTGTCTTATTTAATATTACACAACAATAATTTAATGTGGCAATTATTTTTAATCTTACTCAAGTTAGGTTGCCATACTTCTACACAAATATATTTTCTAAACAACTTATAAATTGTATATTTTATTTAGGTTTATATACTAATATTTTTATTGATTAGTATATGAGTAACTATAAAACTATTCTGGAAAATTAATAATAATTTTCATTTATTATCTTTGACAGTTATAACTAAAAATATATGAAATAAAATTGTATTTATTATTGTTTTTATAAAATATTTTTATTTTATTTTTTATAACTTATACAAAGAAAATTATTTTACATGCATAACACTTATAATTACTATTACTTGAGCACAGGGGGAGGCAAAATAAAAAAAATCTCAAATTTAAGCTAAATAAGGTGTAATGTTATTTCAACATATAAATATTAATATAATATAATATAATTATATGTTATTTTCTATATAATTAATATTTAAATTTTTTTATTGTTGTAATTATAACTAATTAAAATAAATTCTAATAAATAAGTTTAGGGAAAAAATAGAAAATAAAATTTGATCAAATGTATTATTCAATATCAGTAAATACGTACTAGATACATCTCCATTTGATTAATGAATTAAACAATTTATTTTATAATTTCAAGTTAGATATTAATATTATGATGATATTTACTAAAATATAAGTTAATATCATTTTCCTTAGGGATTAAGTGTCCCCATCTTGTGTTCTCCCCTCCCCCAACTATTGACCATGCCTCAGTAAAACCATCAAACCGTAAATTACATAAGTATCAACATTAAAAATACAATACATTGTGATAAATGAAAATCATTATGAATTCTGTTTCCATATTGTATGAATTATAATCATATGGATTATAATTTATGTTGAAATGGAATTTAGTATAAAAAATTTTATATTTAGTTTTATTTTGTTATTAATATATTATTTATTATTGATACAAGGATATCTGATGATTATATAATTGATCGATATTCTTACATGTATTATTAAATATAAGTATGAACTTATTAATTTGAATTTTTTAGAATATTTCAATATTGACCAATAACCTTTAATCTTTTGATCTTTCTATTCTATTATAATGAGTTATTAAATCATAAATTATAGTGTCCCACAAATGACATAAGCATTTGTTTTAAATTAAATATTAATACTACTTTATTACAGTTTATTATTAGACTAAAAAATAAATGTACTATTTTTTTTTTAATGCATGTTTAGTATACTTTTTATAATTTGATTGATTTTGGTTTTTCTAATATTAATATGGTAAATTTGTTACCAGGATTATTGGCAAAATTTTAGTCATTTGGGATTAAAATTTCAAGTCTTTTCTTACTCTACTCATGAATTTATTTATTTTTTAAATTTCTAAGATAGGAACAATGTAAATTTTATTTAGTACTTCATAACCTATATTTTAATAATACTTAGTTTATCAATTTCAGAATAACATTTTCATATATTATATATTTACTAACTACTTAGTTAATAATATTCTAATCTCTAAATAATTATATTATTAAATCAATATTTATATATTATTTACTAATTTCTGTATTTTAGATTTTTTTTTCAAATGTCATAAAATACTCTACATACTGGGCTCTATACTGTACATTTTGTTAAGCAGTTTATATACCGATAGGTAGAAATAATACTTTTATAAATTTGATGAAATTATACTGATAATTAAATCATTAAATAAATAGGTGATTGTTTTAGTTAGATACTTATAACTGCTTAAAAAGTTTTTTTTTAGTTTTACTCTAATACAAATATAATATTGAATTACTTACTGAATTATCAAAATATTTATTTTTATGTCTTTCAAAATAATAAAGTACGATTTTTCAAACCAAGTCACTTATCACGAACACGTATAATACAAAGCTTGGACAAGTCGGTAACTAAAATACAAAAGATCGCTAGGTACTAGTTGACAATTCATATTGCATTGCATAGAATGAAATCATTAATAAATGTTTTGAATATTCAAATAATTTCATGATACCATTATTGACGTTTGACATTTTAATGTTTTGTGAATTTGTATTAGTCTTTAATGTATGGCATGTATCATTAGTTATTATTTCAAAAATAATGTATTTATTTATAATGATTTTTTTTTTTGTACAATCTGCATTAAGAACTTTCATTATAAACATTATTATTATACTTATTCAATATTCATCAATATTGTGTAGTATGTGTTACGGATTTGCGTATGTTTATCGTTAAAAATACATATTTTTAGAAATCGACTACCTACATGATTAAATAGTGTACACATAAAATGCATTTGTTGTTACAATTGACTATTATTTTATTTTAAATATTAAATTTCACTATAGTTTCATGATTTGCGTATTTTTTATAAGAATTATAAACAATTTTTCTCACGATGAAATAAGACTTAGGTCTTAGCTATTAAGCTTATAAGTCACTTAACAGTTAAACTTGTAAATAAAAGAATTCTCAATATATTTTAAATGCTTATATTACTTGCTTCAAAATTTAAATAGGAATCGAAATATCTATATGAGATGTACTGAATAAATTAATTCGTTTTAATGAGTAAAATAGATATTATAAATATTGAATAAAATAATTTTTAATTATAATTATATGTATAGATTATTTTAAACTTGAAATCTATTATGTTGTAAGATAGAAACAATTAATGTTTATCATGTATTCATGTGCCATACCTGCCATGTGGTTATGGTAGAACGTCCTATTAATTTTCTGTTTACATTTTTATTTATTTATATCCATGAACTTCCAACGTGGAAGAATATTATCGATTTTGTAATAACTAATAATAATCTTGACCAGTGTGAATGCATAGTACCTATTGGATATTTAGCACTATTTACCTGTACGGGTGATCTATCTTACGAACGCGTGCAATACACAATATTACAATTTACAATCATTATTCATTGTTCACCGTCGCTTGAAGTATTCCCATATTTATTGTTTAAGAATTAGTTTGTTATAAACTCAAAACTATAAATATTTGACTTGAAACAATTATAAATCTTCAAAACTATTATTTATAATAAATACATTTTTTAATAATTAATTCTTTTGGTTTTTTGTACTTAAAGTGTGTGACTAAATTTATAATTGATAGATTTTTGTTGTTTGAAATATGAATTCTCTTATAGAAAATGAAGACAATATTGACATGGTAGTTCCTGTAAAAAACTTTTTGAATACTATGGTTTGGCTTAGTGAGTAATAATTATTTATGTATTTAAATTATTTTATGTTATTGAATTTTATATCTTAACTAATTGAATTGTTAAAAAAAAAAAAATAATCATAGTATCACAAATTATTTTATTCGTCTATTCATTAGTATAATACGTACATATTATGTAATTTGTACTACAATAATAGGTAGGTCATAATTAAAAGTAACCAGTCTAGATACTTTTAAATTAGATTAAATAACTTGTTTACGTGTAATTGTATACTAGCTATTGCTTGTGCAACGTGTTAGTTATGGTTACAAGAATTGGTTCTAGTTGTAACAAAACACGTGTAAAGTATACAAATGAATCATTTGTAATGTCTATATAGAACTTAAAAATTTATAAAAAATAAATACAACAACTGGTTTAAAGATATTTTTAATTAAAACATATATTTTTTTTTTCAGATAAATGGTTTAACCCTGAAAAATTACCACCAAAAGGTATGTTCTATTATTAATATAGTTATTTTAGATTTATTAAGTTTAAATTATATACAAGTTTTAATCATAATAGTATGATGTTTACAATTTATTTTTTTTAATTGACTATGTTGATTAATGTGAAGCAAAAAAGTAATGCTATGGAAAAAAAAAGAAATAAGTAAAAAGTTGGAAGGTTCCTATATTAATGGGAGTTCGTCCTCGCAGTTTTGTTTTATTTTATAGTACTATTCTATAAGATTTGAATTATTTAAAAAAATGAATATAGAAATCAAAATATATACCTTAAAATGATAACTTATAATATTTTTATATTAACTTCGAAATTTTTTCACTTGACCACCTCGTCTAATAATCCCAATCTAATTATTTTATTCAACGATGGGTTTAACACAGTTATTGTAAGTTAAATTAGTAATTAAAATGTTTTTTAATTTTTCTAATATAGTTAATGTGTATAGTACTTATGTTTCATCTATAAATTATTAGTTATTTTAAAATCATTTTTCGTGTATTATGCATTTACGTTTAATTCAATTTCTCAAAAGTTTCCAAGAATTATTTCATTTTGGCCGTTTATCAATTTATACATTTCTTGGAGTACTATTTATTATTTTTCCAAGCAATTCTAATACATAAATCTAAATTTATTATCGACCTATTAAAAACCACTAATACGCACATATCGTACAGAAGTATAACCGAATAATATTGGCCAGAAAATACTGGGAAGTACGGTTATCTATTTTTATGAATATGCTGATTTATGGGAAATTAGCTCTCTAAACTTCTGCTACCTCTTGAACCTATGACGAGCTTCTGAGGGTTGTTAAAAATGTTTATGAACTCCTTCCATTGTTGGAATACTGAATTCTAAATTTACGACTTACATCCCAGAATTCTTCGTTTATCGGCCTATGAAATACTACTGTATGCGTAGTCGGGTTGGGTTAGGCTTTCAATTGAAGTGAAAACTCGTAGGTTTAACCTTGTCGATGCTCAGTCACCGTGTCGAGTGAACGGTTACGCTAAGTGCGTAGTGTAATATCATTGAAATCGTACGCGACACACGCTTGTCTACCCGAATTATATGGAATATAAATATTATAATATCGTGGCAGCGGCGGTGGTAGACTTATCATAGGATGGCATTTAAAGACTATACAGCACACATAGGAGTACTATAATAATTTATAGGCCACACGAGCAGGCTGCAGCTGCTTCTATTGTCGGCGGCGCCCGCTCCCCGCCCCTGTAAACTCTGCGCCGTCGCATCGGCCAGATATTTTGTCGACGGGTCGTCAGCTGGTTTTTTTTTCTTTTTTTCCCGCCACTTCGTCCTGCCGTTTTACCCCTCGGCGCCGTATCCTGTGGCGAGCTCCCTCGTCCTATTGATCGCGTTTGCCGCCAATAACGTCGTATTATTATTATTATTATCATTATTATCGTACTACAACCGAATGCAGGTTGGTCCGCTCTCCGCCCGTTGGTTTTTATTGCGCCGCAAAGTTCGATAACATTATAGCGCTGTGAGTTTTCTGTACAATAATTCTCGTCATCATCAGTCATCGTCATTATTCCTCGTGTTCGTTCGCCCGTTCGCTTTGAACTGCCACCGTCGTAGTAGAAATCGCCGCCGCCGCCGCCGTCATTCATTGTTACGGCCAACCGCTGCAACAGTCGTCGCTGTCCGTCTATTACAGTATTGCGTGTACTGCCCGGTCTCCGCGATAAAAAAAAAAAAACTTGCTCGTTTTCTAGCTTAACGATATAATTAGATCGTGAGCCGTAAAAATAGATTTGTCGCTGTCGTCATTGTCGTAGGTACGCGAAAACGATTTGTGCGCCCCCCGATGTGTGGTTAACACTAGACCGACGACCGCACTGTGAAAACTCCGTGATTATAACAGTTTTTTTTTGTTGTTGTTTTTTTTTTCATCAACTTTAAGCAAACTTCCGTGTGCGTTTTCATCGATATTAATCTTTTTTTTTTCAAAATAAAGTCACAATGGGTTCCAAGAGGGAGAAACGTAAGTACCCGTTGTATACATGGTAACGCGCGCGCGCGCGCGTAAATAATTGGAGACGCTATGACGCGGTCCTCCAGTTTGCGAGCGAAACGACCGTTTGGTTATATTTTTTTCTTTCCTCCGTAGGCGTTCGTTTTTGATATTATTATGTTGTTTATCACACGGTCGAGAGGGAGTAGCTCTTAGTTGTATTTTTAAGTTTTTTTATTTTATTCATATAAATGTCGGTAATTCATTTTAAACTCCGTTTAAATTGTTGTCGCAATCGTATTTTAACTCTAGTAGTTGAATATTTATCATCAATTCTCATTACAATCGATAAAAATCTGATTCGTTGGTTGTTGCTATTTCGCTAAACACTATTAACGGTACAATTTTTTTTCATTATAATATAACCTTCAGATTTGTCGCCTGTCCAAACGCAATTAATGGAAATAATTTTGTATAGGTACTGGCGTTTACATCGATTTGAATATAATTATATAGTATACTTACCCGGGTTACCGTATGAATGCGAATTATATAAATTGCATTATGGGATATGTACCTATTGGTTACAATTTTTTTTTTTTATCGTGTTCGGTCATCGTTACAAGTTATGTAACTTGTATAAGTTATGATAAAATTGCTTATTAATAAATATTAGGCTATTATAGAGTGATTAATATTATATCAATTTTTATTCCTTAATATTAACTTTTGATATGAGTGGCTTTGAAAAATACGATAATAATGTAGAGTCTGAGACTAGAGTGACAAAAGTTATGTTGTTTTTATGTTATGTCATCAGAAGTCGCAATATAATAGTTGTTAAATTATATATGTAGATCATAAAAAATACTTGTATAAAAACTTTGGATTTCATATTCTTAATTACAAGCATTAAGCATTATCTAGTTCAAATATATGCATAAGCATGACCTTTATTATTACCACATGTTTAGAAATAATGATAGTGTTTTAAAATGTGAGATGTTTTGAACAAGTGGCATTAAATATATTTAAATAATACTATTATACTTATTACTTATACATACGTGATTGATTAATAAGAACCAATTTATATAATTTATATTAATAAATGAATGAATTAAAGAATATTTGATGAACGTTCATAAAAATTGATACGCAGTTGCCAGTTGGTTTCATAACAATATAATATGATAAAATATAATATAGGGTTCAACATTCAACAGGTGTGTTTTTTTAAATTCTTTGATCATCGCTCATAATACAGCAATGAGTAATTCACATTTCACATACACCGAGGTGATCTTCGAGTATAATTCTATGCCGAATGGTTATAATTTGGAAAATATAAGGAGGCAACATGGCGCGGTGACAGATACATTTTAATGACTATTTTATTAGTACTTCATTTCAAGAAAGCAAAATTTAATTTTTATTAAAATTGTTAAACATTAGTTAATGACCCACCACCTTCTTCTTATTACTTACACTGTATCTACTTTATCGGATTGTATTTTCTTCAACTCATTTTCGTGTGTATTTTTGTTATGCAACAGCAATAGTATACTTTTAAAAGTTATAATTATTTATGACTGTAATAACAAATTAGTTACGATAGGCGGACTAACTAATCATTTAATTAAATTGTAGTTAATTTAAAAAATATATCAATAGGAATTATAATAATTATTGAATTTAACTAAATTGTATCTGCTGCCTGATCATTGATGGTCAGTTTATAGTGTTTATACCTAGTTATGTGTATAGTGTAAATTTTGTCACATAGAGTGCGCATAATATATAGGTTTTATCATTTATCACATTATTCTATTTTTAATTTTAGTGTTTACATATATAATATCGTAATTTATTAATCATAGCTTTTACCATTTTGTTTTCTGTGTTCTCTATGAAAAATAAATTATTTATTTTACTTATAATAGGTAATTTTTAGTTGTTTTTTTTTTTTTTAAACCTGAGATTTAATAATAAGTTACATGTAGTTATTACATATTTTTTTTATCATGGTGAAATAAGATTATTAAATTGATGGATACATATTTTTAGACAATATTGTGGTTATGCGATTGTGTTACTTAATTGTTGTCATCAAAATGTTAAACTTTCACCACTTGGAAACGTTTTTCGTATTATAACGAATATTTTATTCTAATATAACACATAATAATAACTTAACATACTCAATGAGAAAGTACATTCGACACCTTCAGAGAATTTACTTTTAATTGATTTGTAGACATTTCAATAGATTTTTAAATGATTATTCCATTATTAATAATAATTTATTATTAATTAATTGTTATCTGGATTCATAAGTAGGTATCTATTAAACTACAATTAATGTTTTTTTTTTAAATTCTACTTGTAAAAACCAAGGAAAACAAATAACCAATATTACTAATATAATCTAATACATAATATACACTATAATTACACAATTTACTGAATAGAATTAATTTTTTAATTTATTAATCTGTTAATCTGTTACAAAACCTTTAATTTTTTTCTGATTATTTACAATAGTACAAGAAATTATTTAGGTTTTAGTGTTTGACCCTCCCTCTCTTCATTACCCACTAGATAGCTAAAAAAAAATTTCATTTCACAAAGTTTTGAGATAACTTATTGCATGTTGATAAGTTACGTGTTTTATTAAATTGATATTATTTGATAACCTAATTTGTCACTTGATTATTTGTCAAAGTTTATCTTAATTTCATTAAAGTATGAATATAATATTACAGTTATATTAAATGGTTTTTATTTAAATAGATTTAGTTTCCTTTTTCATTTTTAATAATTCACAATAGTTTTAGATTATGAATGAAATTTTGAAAGTAATAACTTATCAACTACACATTTTTATCTCTTATTGATCTAGCCACTTTTGTTAATTTCAACTTTCTTGTTTTAAAAGACTTAAAAATCCATTGTTGGTATATTAAGATATTTGAAAAGATAATTTTTTAATTTTTCTCTAACCTAAAATAAAGTGTAACAAAATCGATTAAAGAAATATTACATAACTCTTCTATATGTCAATTGTTCTTCACTATTTTGAAATTTTCTGATATAATAATTTTTATTGCTTCCAAATTTAATATCCTCACATTACACATCTAAACTAACAAGTAAAGATCTATAATAACTCTAATATTAACACTTATTAAAATCAAAATTTTAATCTATTATATTTGAAATACATTTTTTTGCTGTCTCGACTTATTCATGTTTAAATTTGTTTATAAACTAACTCTACATTTATCAGATATATTATGTAATTATTAATTATGTAATATAAAATACGTTTTGAACAGGTAATTTGTTATGTGTTGATGAGCTAGATTTGGTAGCCATATTAATGTTAGCTTGACTCATTCCAGACGATGACCCTAGTTTCTATTTTTAACAATATTTTTAAATGTATATGCATAGAGATGGATATTCATTCAATGGCCATGATTTCTGTGACGAAATTTTTATTAACGTCATATATATATTTACTATATATTGTATGTAGTAGTTGCACTACATAATTTATAACTTCAAAATTATTTTGTCGTATTTTTTTTTTTTTTTAAATAATTAGTCACGTAAATCGTTTAAATAAAGTGTCAATAAAGTATGAACATTTTAAATTATTTAATACAGTGAAGTATATTTGAATTTAAAAAATCAAATTAAATAAACTTAATTGTATTCATTGTTTTTACCTAATTAAAATTGCTTTTAATGTATTTGCATTTTTATTATAGCGGTGTTTAATTTTATGAAATGCAATATGAGTCATTTGTATTTTATTTTTACCCGTCTACTTTTATAAAAAATATTAACGTCCCTGTATGCATCACGTTTAGCTATTGTTTATACCATTTTACAATTACTTTTTCTAATTAAAAATAAAAGAATATTTAAGAATTATTAGATGTGATAAACATGATTTAGTTTAGATGTTTAAAAAATATAAATCATATATTGTGAATTATTTTAAATAAGGAACAATCTACTTCAATTCTCAACTATTTATTCAAAACAGACATGTTCATATATTCATACATATCATTTTTTTTATCATCAAAATATCCAACTGTTTATATTGTAAAAATAATGTAACTTAGTTTTCATTATGTAAATCGGTACATCTTGTTTTAAATGTTAAAAATAATTTAAAAAAATTAACCATTATTGTGTGTATAAAGCTTAGTACCCAATGTGTAACACGTTCTAAAAATTTTCATAAAATAATTTTACGACATAGATCAAATTCAAAATAAAAATTCTACTCTAATTATGTAAGATGTAATGCATATATTATCTTTAGAGTAGTATATCAATTTTGTTTTATTCCTTTTGTCATTTTGCCTTTTGGCCTTGACTGTTATATTTTAATCTGTAACAATACCCCACTGAAATGTAAGACAACACTGAAACTCGTAGTTTATATAATATTTAGTTCAAACTATATTTATGCATAACGTGATCATACGTCCCGCTGTCCCCCAAAAACCTAAAAATGTCCCACTTAAGTTATTTTACGCAAAATTATATAGTTTTATTATTAAAATGTTCGGGTGTCCCGATTTGAAGAAAAATAATAAATTATGGTCACGTTATTTATGCATCAGCATTTAATTTTAAAGAATCTTATTTTTGTGCCGTTTAGAAGACATTTGTGTTCCGTCCATTACATCATTAAATAAAATCTTATATAGGAGCAATTGAAGAACTAAGAACTTTTTAGAGAAGACATTTCTGGACTTAGCTGTTTTAGTTTGTTCTAATACGGAGTAATTATCGTCTTCTTGTTTCGGGAAATTATAAACTCTCCGAGCCTGTAATACTTAGTTTGTACGTTATAAATTATCCCTTAAATTATTATTATATCATTATAATTTAAATTTTTAACAATATGAACATAATAATTTTATAATCAGCTTTTTCTAGTAAGTAGAGTATACAGCTTTGAAATTCTAATTTTCTGATAAATGTTGAATATATAGTATGATTTATGATTATAGATATGCACTTCAAATAACTTAATGTTAATCCGGAAAAGTTACCACCGTCCGTCCCTTGTCATTAAATGTCCGTACAGTGTTTTTTTTTTTTTTTTACAAAAATGATGCCCAAAAAGTGTTAATTATAACTTTTTTGAAACACGAGGTTTGGAGGCTCTGTCGCTGGCTTACACGCTAATAATAACGTAAACAATATAATTACGGTTCAATGTCAAATAGTTTTATTATACACAAAACAACTACGCTGTCGAGTGTCATACAGTTGTTAAATCCCATTATATTATGACCGCGGACGTAAACATTACGTGACGATCATGTCGCTTTTTTTTTATTATCGTAGATAATAGATAAACTCGAAAACCGTATGTATCGTTTCAGACATATTGCGCGTGTCGTGGCCGATTTTTGATTTGAACAATTTTGGTACGCGTCGAAGACTACTTCGTCGTTGTCGTCGACGTCGTTCCAACGTAGTTAACACACCTGTCCTGCACTCCTGCGTGCTGCGAAATTAATCGCAAACCTGTATACAGTAAAATATAACGGTCTCAATAATAATTTATTGTTTATGAAATATTCGGCGGCGGCGGCCGAACGTACTCGGACGCGTGTACCACGTACTGTGGTGTTCATCGTTCATCGTCGTCGTGGCGGACGCGACACGCACATGTGGAACTATTATAGTCGGCGGCGGCAGCAGCAGTTATTGTTGTACGTACGACGTCGACTACGACGACGGCGACGACGATGATGACAACGTAGGTGGGATGACGGAACGTCGGTGGCGGTGCACAGCTGCTGTTGCTGCTGCTGTCACGGACTTGGGTTTTGGTGGGAGGGGGCTGCTGCAACGTGGAATCCGCCGTCTTGCCGTTGTTGCCGCCACTGTGGTGCGTGTCCGCCGCGCTGGGCCTCCGACAAAGATCATCCATAGCCCGTGTACAGTGTGTGTTTTGATCAGACGTGTGCGCTGCTCTCTTGGTGTGTTTTCGGTGTCTTGTCCATAGTGTATTCAGTGTCGTCGTGTACATCGTACGACAGGCTTACAATATCGTTTAATTTTTATTTCCTTTATATTCATAGAGACGAGAAGACGACGTTCGTTGTTTTCCGTCTTCCTTTGTCCCTCAGACGCGGCAACCCCGTTTCGTTTCGCACCGTTTTTTTTCCTACGACGTCCCGACGCAATGGCGCCCAAGAAGTACAACAGCAGGTCAAACAGCAGCTATTCCGCTCCCGCCGCTCCCTTGCCCGACAGGGGACCAGGTATGTGTTCGCGCTTAACGGTGCTCGGGGGACGTGCGTGACGCTCCGCTCGCATATGGTCATCCCTGTCCGAACGCTCGTTTCAGGATTCAGGATTCGTAAGACTCTCGGTGTCATGTTACAAACTCTGCAGCGACGACGAGAAACGTGAAGAAACGTTTCATTCTCTTTAATTTCAATTTCGTTTTCTGGGTGTTTCGGATTTTTTTTTCTTTTCATTTCGGTAACGTGGCCGTTTCAACTTGTTACACATCCGTTGTTTCCACTCCGGTTTTCTCCCCCTCCGACAATCTGAGACTCTGATACGAGTTCGCTTGAGGATCATTATTTGGAGTTCGTGTATGAATCGGTGATTTTTTAGTGTTTACAGTTACGCGGGTAATTGCTCGACCGAAACGCCGTCGTCTCCCGGTCGGTTGTGGTTGGTAGTGGTTCTGGTCCTGATGGTGGTGGTGGCGACGGCGGCGGTGGTGATGTGGAATCGACAAATTTTGTCTACGTTTACGAATCCAAGCCGACCCGTCCAAACCTAACCCACCCACGTCCATATCCAACGTCAAACCAATATTTATCAGATGTTTTCGGTTTTACCCCTTAGTAAAAATCGGGTTGACACTATATTAATTTAATTGTTTTAATGTTGCTTAACTAGTGTGACTTAAATTGTACTGGTTTGACGTTAAAATATAGTAAACTCATTAACAATTTATCCTGGTTTTTACTGTAGTGTTTTCTTAGGCCGTGTATATGTTGGCCATTATTGATCTATTAAAAAATATTTTATATATTAAGTCGATAAATTTAGGTACTTTTAAATGTATTTTCCTCAGTATAAGTGACTGATAATATTGTTAAAGGTCTAAATTCAAAAATTGACCTATTTAAAATTCAATGTTGTTTATTTTAAATTTTTTTTCTCTGTACTACTTGGTAAAGTTGCGGATGTTGTATGAAAACGTCAGTATAGCAGACAAGCATGCCTAAAGTAGGGTAAAAATTATGAACGAAGCTATGCTTTGTACTGTATTTCATAGAACATTCAATAATGGAAATCAAAAGCGCTTGTTATATGACCGTGTTAAATTTGTAAATCTGATTATAATATGAATAGGTACTCTTAAATTATATTTCATAATATGTATATTTTGAAGATTTAAAATTGTTTTCCAAATAAAAACAAAATTATATGTATTGTTAATTTAGGGCATTTAATGTTTATACAGTAGGTAGAGATGTCACAATCGACTGAAACAAATGATACAATATAATACCTATGTTATTATGTGGATGTTATCATTTTATAAATTATCATGTAGAGATAGTCACTATACCTATTATAGTGAATAATTTCAAACTATTTTAAAAACATTAATATTATCTATGTATTATAATAATGTATTAATTATTAATTTTGAATTTATTTACAGTTGAAGCTTTGGTATATTGGAGAGATCCTGTATCTTCAGGCATTGTTTTTGGTGCAACGTTAATTGTATTGCTGTCATTTGCATATATGTCGTTGATTAGTGTAGTCGCTTATCTGGCTATGTTCATTCAATCTGGATGCATTCTTTTACGTCTATACAAAACCGCCCTACAAACGGTCAATAAAACTAATGAAAGTCATCCATTCCAGTGAGTTATCTATTCTTAAAACTGATCTATAATAATTATCATAAATTGTATTATATTTATTTGATTATATTTTGTAGAGAATATCTTGACTTGGACATCAGGCTACCACAAGAAAAAGCTGAAGAACTGAGCAAATTAGCTGTTGTACACATTAATGCTGTATTGGTTGAAGTTCGTCGTTTGTTACTAGCTGAAGACTTGGTTGATTCAGCCAAATTTTTTGGTATTCTCTGGGTGTTGACATACGTTGGCGCCTTGTTCAACGGTCTTACACTCATAATTATTGGTACTTATAGTTTTATTTACATATATATATATATTATATAGATAAATTATTAAATTTTTTTTTTTTCAGGATTTATTGCTCTGTTTACATTGCCCAAAGTTTATGAGAACAATAAGACTCAAATTGATCAAAATATTGAAGTAGTTAGAAGCAAGATTGCTGAATTGACTAACAAGTGAGTTTTTTTTGATTATTAAATTAAATTTTATATTAATTTTTTGAAATTATACATAATATTGTATGTATAAAGCACTAAAGTATGAAGTGTACATCTGTATTGTCCCCATTTCAGAAATGTGTAATTCAGTACAATGTATTTAATTTTATTGATCTTAAATATTAACATATCAACTATATAGTTTATTATCAAGACCATCTATGTTCTTCTTTTATTGGCTTTTATCAATGTATTAATTTTAAGAAAAGAGACTGAAAAACTCGTTTTAAAATCAAAATTTTATATTAATTTCCCTCTATCTAAAATTAAAAAAAAAAAACCTGAAAAGAATACAGATGAAATAAATGCTGCTATACATACATTTTGTATATTTTTAAGATAAGAAGTATGAGTGTTTTAATTGCAGTAATTGATATTGTTTTTTAATTATTGCAGAGTTCGAGCTGCTATTCCAATCGGAAAAAAGAATCCAGAGACAAAGAAGAAGGAATAAACTCTCTTATTTGTTTTCCTATTAAAGTCCATCAATATTCTTGTGGTCAATAATAAAAATTTTAGGCCAACATTTTTTTTTTTTAATATATATTTATATATATATAATGTAATTTAGACCATGTCGTCCCAGTAAAGTTATACATTTATACTATCATTAAAATACTCATTGCTCCCGTTTTTAAATAATTTATATTATATCACGGGAAAATATGTGTAGAACGTCTTTTGACATAACTATTTTCACCACAATGTAATTGTGTAAAGGTTTGTGAATTATTTCATTTTTATTTTCAGCCTGGTTCAGCTTTTGCTCATTTTATTATTCTGCCCCTCCTTAAATTTTACCTACATTTTTATTCCTCTTGCTATATATTATAATATAGCAAAGCAAGCTAGCTTAACTTTAAACAATGCTATTTGTTTGTGTATACTTATAATATATTTACTCTGTTGAGAATGTGTTTAAGTTTTCTTTTTTTTTTTATATATAATTAGATTTTGTTCTAGTTTCTTATTTCTATACATAAATTAAAAGATAGGTTTAACAATTATTTTATAACTCAAACAGATAATATTGAATTTAGCTATACATAATATATATATATATATATCATTAAATATGTAAAAGTTTTTACATTATATTGTTACAATTTTTAAGCATACACTGTCATTTTTTTTCTTTAAGACAATAGTTTTAACAGCTGTTCACTTTTATAAAATTAATTATATGGGCAATACCATAAAATCATCATACAATGCAATATACTAATGGTTTTTTTTTTCAATGTAATTTTATGTATTTTATTCAAATCCTATTGAGCGATTTTTTATGTTAAATGATGTTGAGTACATATTTTATTTCATAAAATCCCGTGGTAAAAAGAAATTCAAAGTTTTAGTTTATTTATCTTATTAATTGTTATTATTTATTGGTACTTAGACATTATTGACTAATGTATATTAAAAATAACATTTATATTGTATTTACATTATATTATCTATTTCTAAATAGGCCATATTCATTCATTCATTGTGTACCCTAACAAGCAGTGGCGCCGAATTAAATCAAAATTAGCAGTTCAAATTATTTAATTGATTCGTTCATCTTTTCCTATTCAGAAATATTTATTTTTCTAAATTGGTTTAAATAACTATTTTAAGTATAAATAATTAAATGAAACTCTTGTGTATATAACGACTTTAACAGAACAACTTAAAATTTTGCAATTACTTACGTGCTCATCCAATTTTCATGAATGTAAGTTGAACTACCTGAAGTGTATTTTTGGCGCCACTTACAACATGTACAGTGCTGTGGTTTAATGATATTGATTAAATTATCACTGTTATTTTAATATATAAATTAAATAATGGACCTTATTGAGAATTGTTCTAAATCTGTTAGAAAACTTAAATTAGTGGTTAATAAATAGAAGCGTATTAATCGCCACAATTAACACCCATCTTATTTTAATTTCTCTTGCATGATGTTAACATGTTAAAATAATATCAAGTTCTTGTTTTTTTAATTAAATTTGTGTGTTTATTCCATTAATTAAAAATAATTTGATCCTGTACAACTATAGATAGGACTCAATTTTTGATTAATTGAACTTGCGTCTCAACATTTCTATTGAAAATGTATCGAATTAGAATGATTTAGAATCTCCACGAGATATTACATTCTCTGATTGCTGAGAATTATGTATTTATGATGAGTAACTTAAATAAATAATTGCATGAATAAAATTATTAGTGAATAATAGTTGAATATTTAGTCAACTGGTAGTTAATAGTTATATTATTATGGGTAAAGACGTAAAGTTGATCATGGTTATAATGAAATAATAATCGTGTCGTGGCCTTAATGCGTGTAAGTTCTGGTGCAGATTTCTATTCTACCGCTCACTTTTTTCGTCAGATAGCGCTGTTGTATATAATTTAAAATTTTTATTATTTTCGATAAATGCGAATGTTAATGTACTTATGTACGAGTTAGAATATTAAATCTAACAATAATAGTAACTGTAACGTAAAATGAAAATTATATTATTTATTTCTGTATATAAAACGGTACATTTTATGTAAAACATTCATTATTTTAGAATACATTAACGTTTTATACATTTTTTATAATAATTTTAAGCTGGTAAGTGGTTACAGATTGTAGTATGTCTTTGAGATTTACGTGTTGGTGTTATTTACAATCCATGAAAAATTGTAATGTATTAAATTATAGTTATAACAACTGATAAATAAAAGTATACATAATTGAAAAAATACGTGTAAAAAAAAAGTAGATCAGTGGTTACCGGCATACCGCCATTAGGTGTTCAAGGTGTCGAGTGTCACTATTATAGGTATGTTTAATTTAAATTCAATAATAATATATTAATTTATAAAAAAAAACAATTCTTAGCGGAAACGGTCTATCAGGCTATATCATAAAGTGATACGTTTATTAGGTATAGCTATTAGCATGGCTAAATACATTGTATCTATATAAACATTTGATATTGACCTTAAATATTTATTTCAACTTGAAGACTCGAACAATATTTGATGTTTTATTGTCATTCATAGAAAAATAATAATAGATACCTACTTGTAACTTTCAAAATTGCTCAACTGTTTTTGAGTTTTGATCTTGTTTTCAGTCATGAGAAATGTATAAGTTTTTTTGATTTTTTTTCTACAAATGTCGATAAAAATTACTCACCAGATCAGAATTCTTGAAAATTTAATACAAGAATCCATAAAAGTTTTTTTTATGTTAGTTAAAAAATATTGAAAATACATTAATGTATAATTTTCTTTCTATAATATGCATTTGAAGTTAGAATTTTGATGAAATTCGTTAAAATCGCAAACAATTGTAAACTATATTGTAATTAAAACTGCATGAAAGCTTTTCTTTTTATATCTATGTTTTGAAAATTTAATATACTAGATTTCTTCATAAATTATTCATCTGAAATCATAAAATCTAAAAAAATGCTCGAAGATATTTTTTTTTTTAAACATTTTATGATTTTTAAGTTCTAATTTGGATGCAGTTAATTATTTTTTTGAACAATATATTTATCATTTCCCTCAGAATCTAATATTTGTCATTAAATAATTTAACGTTATTGTGTTATAACAATGATAAATTTATATTGACTGTATTGACTCAAAAGTTATTGACAGTAATTTATAGTAATAGAAATATATACTATTTTAATAATTAAATATAAATTATTTTTAATGAATGCAATTTTTTTGGCAACAATTTAACCTACCATAATATTACAATATTATTAATAGACAATAGTAAAAATAAATTATTATTTTAGGTGATAGTATTGATCAAATACACTTGCGTGTATTTAGACAAAAGGGCGTGAATTTTAATAATTTTTCCGTGGATTTTAGATTAAGTATCAGACAATAATATTATCCTACCTGGATTTGTGTAAGTTGCACAGGTTTCAGCTCCACTGAAGACGACGACGACAATTATTAGCCTGATGAAAAATTTCTAAAGGAATATTTTTACAATAGAATCTCTCAATGTAGACCACTTTAATATTAGAAAAATCCAAAATACTCAACAGTCAACACTATTCCTAACATATGGATATTGGTATACTAACTATAAGTTAGGTTAGATTACTAACTATGTAGGTAAAAATGCTGTGACAAATGTTACGCGTAGTAATGATTGTCATCCTAATAACCTTCGTACCATACAAATAAATACTTTACAGAAAATATAAATATACTTGTTTAACAATAGTCGACGATTTAATGATAAAAAGAATAATTAATATTAAATATTAGAGTACAACAATAAAATATTGGTTTGATTACTGTAATTTCTAATTTGTATTTCAGTAACCTTCAGTGAACCTTTTGGAAATATTGTCAACTATAAAAATATTATTTTTATCTATTGTATTTTGTGATATTACAAATTTTATTTATAGGTACCTAATAGTATTACAATAATATAATTTTATACAACCAACAAATTAGACAACATTAAGTAACTCAGTATTTTATAAACATAATATATAATATTCACTTTCACAAATCGACAGTAAACGATGCTTATATGATATAAGTAACACAAGTACCTAACTAATATTATTAGCCGCATATTGGTAGTAACTAGTAAGTAGGTACTATTGGTACCAATAGGCAGCGCCGAATCTAATATTTTTTTTAACCCGGGACAAAATATGAAATTGGCACCCTCTTATATTAATAACCTTTTTTTTTTTTACTTATTATATAATTAGAAATTTGCGCCCCTTTATGACTGGCGTCCAGGGCACGTGCCCCAGATTGCCTCTTCCTTAAATCCGGTGCTGCCATTAGGTACCTACTTATTTTATTATGATATATTTTATCTGTAATTTATATAATCTTATTTAAATAGTTTTAATAATTATATAATTTATTGTTATTGTGTCTATATTACTTATATAAGACTATGTCAGCGCCGGATTGAGACTTTTTGGCCTATTGAGATTTTAAATTTCTATCGGTCCATTCATAGGTAGAGATTTGATTGTATTATATATGATAAGCAACGAAGACTTTAACCCTAATATTCAATAATTTGGGGGTTTTTGAAAATGTCCTTCTTCCCCGAAATTATACCTATGGGCCCATATTTGACAAAAATGTTGTATTTCTTATTTTATTTACACTCCAAGCAAAAAAAGATTATTTTTTTTATTCATTTGAAGTTTGTGTGCATTATTTCATGATATTTTCTTTAAAGTAAGTTTACAAATTACCCATTACCCAACATATAATGTATTAAGTTACCTCTTATACAAGCAAAGGCAATTTTTTTTCAATTATATTTTTATTGCATATAAAAAAAAAATACCAAAGAGAAATATGAACACATATAGGTATTTATAAAATGCCTAAATTTGGTTGATCATTAATAAGTAAGTTTAGAACTGGAAATATGCAACATAATATATATGCTAATACATTATATTATCTTTATTTTAAAATAAAAGTTTTTAGCTTAAGCTTAATCATGATCACGACCGGTCCAAATTTTACGCGGCCCATCGAGATTTTCTCGGTAGCTGCCGGTTCAATGCGGACCTAGATCATGCAGGTTAATGAATTGCATTATGGATAAAATAAAAAAAAAATGCTGATGTAATACGAAAGCTAGCAACCACGGTGTCGTTGATTTAAGGTGTAGTTAAACAATAAATTATTGTATACTTAATATTAACAATGTAGACATAAATAACAAAATAAGTACTAATTTCAATTTTTCATAAAATGATTTTCCAGCTATTTCAGTCAATTAGATATCTACTACTGCAATACTATAGATATAAATAAGATAGAATGCCGTATATTATTCCCGTACAAGCCATGCATACTATATTTTGTTATAAAGTCTCCGAAAATTCATCTATAATGAACTGTTCTTGCTGTTCTCGGTATATAGATTCACCAAACTGCAGTTTTGTATAGAACTGAAAACACCACGAGAGAAACCCTGTACAGGATCCAAGATCGTACCTATTTTATTTAATAGATAATAATATGAGGATCTATATTCTATATGTTCATTTATATTAATTTATCTTAAACAGTAAGTTAGTAACGTTTTTGTCTATCAGTTATAAAAAAAACATTTATTGTGTAATGTGTGATGGAAACGCTATTTTTTAACGTTTTAGTCGGCATTGACAATTAAACGTTGGTACGAGCTTCAAAATAAAATATGTTTAAAAATTGATATAATTCAGAAATTTACTGGTTTAAGAAGTTTTTGAAAAAAGGATGAAAAAAAAGCCAACGGCACGTAGTGTTCCCAAGCGGTCACCCATCCAAGTACTAACTACGCCCGACGTTGCTTAACTTCAGTGATCGGACGAGAACTGGTGTATTCAACGTGGTATGGTCGTTGGCGAGATGGTTAGTGATTATCAAATTATTTGACTATTTAATTATAATTAAAATTGTTTTTACAATATTATATACATGTTATATAAAAAAATACAATACATTTTAACTGATGACAAATTAAATACCTATACATTTTTTTTTTGTGTATATGAATATATCATAATATTATAATATAAGTAGGTACCTAATAAGTAATAGGAATAAGAATTTTTTTAAGTCATAAATAATAATATATACCTATCTATCTAACTGGAGTTAAGAATAAGAATTTGTTTCATTTACGCGGATTATGACCACGATGTGTTATATTCTGTACTTACTGTCTTACCATAGCAAAACAGTCTCACTGGTTACCTTTACCTATAGGCTATATTTTGGCAATATACATTTAAATTATTATATTTAATATGTTCAACTATAGATAACTTAACATCTTTAATTAAATAAGTTTTACAGCTATATTGGTATTAAGTAGATAGGTAACTATATAGGCTATACCTAACCTAACCTAGGCTATACAGGATATGATACTTGATATATTATTTAAAATTGTTTTATAGAATATACGGTAGATATAGTCGTATACCCGCGTATCATTATTCATTAATTTGTCATAAACTATACGCCATGGATACAAATAGTGTTATAGACTATTAAAGATTGAATCTTATTTATGTGTAAAAATTTACTATAGCATAATTGGTTTTATATGCTATGATTACTTTTGACTTTTGTATAATACGTGTACACACATTTTTTCTAAAAGTTTTGTGTCTATATAAATAAACCCCAAATAGATTTTTTAATATATTAAAAGTCTATAATATATCAGTTATATACATCATGATATATATATATATTGTGTAACAAATACAAAATTACAATTTTACAATGAATAGATGCTACACTGTATGGCTGCACTTATTTAGATACCTAATCTTGGTTTTTACCAGGACCGATGGAAAGTCATTAGCGAAAACTGCAGTAAACTGCTATAATGTTTAAATAGTTGACGTGCCATTTTCTAAAATACTATACGTCGTAATTGGTTGCAGACCTAATAATTTGCGATTACATTCCAAATATTTTCAAAGATATCTTCTACAGTCCTATACTTCTAACCTTCTAAACCTTGGTTACAAAAATAGACACTAAACAGGATGTGAAAATGCATCTCTAAACTTTAATATTGTCTAATATTTAAATGTCCGCACTATATATGTTTCAAAATAACTCTTTCATAATTTTGTCGATTTATGCATTATGTGGTGTATTATAGTTCATATTAGCATCTCCCGGATAATTTCTAGGACATCTACGCCTATATAAGTATATATATATATTTATTATTAGTCGATTCATTTTTTACCGGATCACACAATTAATATTTATTGAACTCCAAAACGTATAACGAAATATTTTGTAAAAGTTTTGTCGGAAACTCTCAACAGCGTTGTTTGCGCAATTTATAGTATTTGTATCGTATGTATCTATCTATATTGGAATTCGCAATGAAAATTTAAAACAAACGGGACTCGAACAAAGATTTTTACTGACTGAAAATATTATACTTTTAAGTGTACTAATAAAAAAACCTGGTAAGGATAAATCAAATCCTGATAGCTACAGACCGATAAGTTTACTTACCTCCTTATCAAAAATCTTTGAAAAAGTTATTCATACGAGACTACAAAATTATTTGGACAGCGCAGATGTTATCCCAAAATTTCAATTTGGGTTTAGATCCAATCACTCGACAGTACAACAGCTTTTTCGCATAACTGAACATATTAGTAATTCATTTGAAAAACATTGCCATACTGGTGCCGTATTTATAGACGTCTCGAAAGCGTTCGATAAAGTATGGCACAAAGGCCTTTTATACAAACTAAAATCTTTCAATACACCGAAGTACTTATTTGATATTATCAATTCCTTTCTAACAAATAGGCAATTCTCAGTTAGAATTAATGATAATTTCTCTGTCCCTCGGACCATATCTGCTGGTGTACCTCAAGGGTCCAAACTGGGACCTATATTGTTCAATATATTCATCTCTGATATACCACAGTCACCACGTACAAACATTGCACTATTTGCAGACGACACAACAATATACAGTGAATCCCGCAACGTCGAAGCGATAACAAACAACTTACAAGATCACCTAAATCTATTAGCATCATGGTGCAATAACTGGAAAATACACATAAACGCTTCAAAAAGCTCAGCAGTCATTTTTAGCTTACGTCGCTATTCCACTCCACCACCTCTAAGATTTGGCAACGATTCCATACCTTGGCAGTCTTCTGTCAAGTACCTTGGTGTCACGTTGGACAAGAGGTTAACCTGGGGGCCTCACATAGCTTCTAAATTACAACAAGCATACCAGCGCCTCTCAATGCTATTTCCTATCCTAAACAAAAAATCAGTCATACAAAAAAAATGCTCAATATTAATTTACAAGCAATTATTACGCTCACTAATTACCTATGCTTGTCCTATCTGGGGAAACTGCTCAGTGACACACTTAAGAAAAATACAAATTTTCCAAAACAAAGTATTAAGAATAATAACAAACGCACCATGGTTCATACGCAACGAAAATCTACATAAAGACCTCCGAATCATAAAAATTCAAGATCATATAAAAGCTCTAGCAGAAAATTTCCACAGTTCACTCCAAAAATCAACTGGCTCAATACACTTCAACTTACACATACGACCACCACCTCAAAGACGACTAAAACGCGGTCGCCCGCACGATCTTATTCGATAATGCTATTAAATAACTAGTCACTACTGTAATTATCGCTCTTAATTGTAATTGTAAATACTTATATCATGTTTAAATTAGTCAAAAAAAAAAAAAAAAATTATGTTATTTATCCATAGATGTAGATAGCCTTATAGGCTAGGAATGTCTTATTATAATATAAATAAAAAAAAAAAAAAAGTGTATAATATAATAGATATACCTACAGTACCTACGGAGGAGGGAAAGTCGATCGGAGAAAAAGTTACGGTTTATCAACCGCCGCAGCAATAGAGCAGTGAATTCGGACTCGACCGCGATCGAAATACTATCGTATGTGGGGGTATGTACACACATTTTATACTCGACATAATGATATGGCCACGCGGCTCAATTGTTCGAGACGACCGAGGAAACTCGCCCGTCGTCTGCAGCCGCGTTCTGGCGCCGACGGTCCGTGTTTGTGGCCGCGGTCTGATCGACGGGTTTCCGAAGTCTCGGCGACGTGACCCGGGTGGTTCTCTGCGGGGACTTCGGCAACGACGGCTGGCCGACCGCTACGGGACAGCGATCACTGAGCGATTCGGCCGTCGGCTCTGCGTAATAACAGCGGCGGTCGGCCACCGCGCCGTCCCGGCACACCACCCAGTCGGCCACGGGCGCGGCGTCCACGGCGGTGGCCGTCTCGTTCCGCAGTATCGCCCGGCCGGCGTCCGGCGCGAACGGCTCGCCGCCCAGCGCGTACCTCTTGGCGCTCAGCATCGCTTTGTAGACGAACGCGTGGCACGCGACCGGCGAGCTGATGACGGTTCGGTCGCCGTACTCGACCGCGGCGCCCGTCGCTCGGTACACGCCTCTGCGGACCACCACCACCCCGTCGTCGAGCACCGTGCCGCCGAACTGCCACAGGACCACCAGCTGAACCACGAATTTGGCGAGCGCCGGACGGCCGCTCACGTCCACGCCTCGGAACGGCGAACAATCCAGACACTCCTCCAGGCTGACGTGCGTCACGTTCAACAGGTCATCGCCGTGTTTGGCTTTGAGGTCGTCCAGAGTGGACGACAGCGACACCTCCTACGGAAACGCACAGATATATCGCGATATTGAAAACATTAAACGATTATTATGACGCCGAACAGGACGGTATTGTACAATATTGTTTGTCCATATATTTATTGAGTAATATTATAAAATAGTGTAGGAGAAAAGAGGCCGATCGCCGATATACCTGAATATTCTAGTTCAGCGTTTCTCAAACTGTGGGTCGCGACTCCCTGGGGGGTAGCGAGTCAATTTTTGGGGGTCGCGAGAAGTAGTATTATATTATTATTATAAGTATATTATTAAAATTATTATTATAAGTATATTATTACAATTATTATTATTATTATAAAGTAGTAAATAAGTAATAAAAAAATTTGTTTTTTGAAATTACTTTTTTGATTCTGTAAATTTAAAACTATGGGGGTCGCGATAGATTTTTGGAAAAAAAATTGGGTTGCGGTTCTAAAAAGATTGAGAACCACTGTTCTAGTTTGATGTATGATCAATTTGAGATAAACGTTATTGGTACAATCGTATTATAATATATATATATATACCATTGTATGTAAATAAATAAATAAATATACAGGGTCCGGCAAAAAAATCCCCTGTATTTAGAGATTGCGCTGTGTGAGTTGTGGTGATGGTACAACTATGGAGAAGGTATTGATTGATAGCTGTATAAATGCCATTTTGATCGTTGAAGATCGCGCATTTGTCGTAGAGGAGTATATTTGTAATGGTAGTTCTGCGATTTCTAGTTAGCGAGCATTTCGTATCCTATTTCAACTTGACCGACACATCTTCCGGAGTTGTTGTGATCAAAGGTTGGTCAGACAGTTTTTTTTTTCAGTATAGAACTCGTTGCTCTAAAATTGGACACCCAAACGCGAGCATTGTTTTTCTATCCAGAACAAAATCATGTCGGTCAAGTTGGAACAGGATGCGAAATGCTAGCTGACTAGAAATCGCAAAAACACCGTCCACCATTACAAATATACTCCTCTAAGACAAATGCGCGATCTTCAATGATCCACATTATTACGCCTACTAAAAATGGCACGTACACAGCTATCGATCGATACCCTCTCCATAGTTGTACCACAACCACAACTCACATAGCGCAATCTCTAAATACGGTAGGATTTTTTGCCGATATACCCTTTGTATATATATATATAAAATGTATGTATGTATGTTATGTATGAGGTAAATTTTCAAAACATGTTCACCTCTTATCCCCATTTTCCCTTTGATAATAAATTTAATAACATTTTGAGTTTTGAAGTTAAGTAGTTTAAATGATCTTATATTTTCAAATACTTCGATTTTTTATGCAATTAAAAGAGTGTTGTAATATTTTTATTTCAAAAGAAAACCTTTTTATTACTAATTATTATAGGTAGGTATTAGATAATTTTTTGAAAATGTTTATGTAAATAAATCAAAATTAAAAAGAAACGAGAAGTGTTTGAGTTATTATACTTTGAGTATTTGTGATAATATTATTTTATATTTAATAACGATTATATTTTGTTTCACATAAAATACTACGAGATGGTCAAGATGTAATATTAGTTAGGTGTAGTATAGAACATTAGTACATAGTCTGTATTACACTTCAAGAATTTTTACAAATTATAATGTTTTAATAAAATAATATTAATTATTAATTGCTAATTGTTATAATGTTTAATTTATCATAGCCTCCGATTTCCCAAAATTATTATCGTGCAGGACATCAACTATTATCTTTAGTACGTCAAATTTGATAAATCAGAAACTACTCGTTCAATTTGATTTTTTATTGATTTATATTGACATTAAAAAAATTCTCCTTGATAATTATTAATAAAAAGGTTGGCTCCTATCTGAATCAAAGACATTACAGAACACTCTTTAAATTACAAAAAAAAATCAAAGTTTTTACAAATATCATCATTAGGTTTATTTAAAAATTAGAATTTTAATATATTCATTATTAAAAGAAAAAGGTGAAATAAATAATCACTCTGCTTTACAGTATTAGTGTACTTCGTTATTGAATAGGTCATTGTAATAAATGTGTTAATTTTTTTTGCCAAAAAATAAAATCGATTTTGTCAAAAACTAGTTTTGCGTGAAAATTCTCGTTTTTCTTTATTTTTTTCTGGTTCTCCTGATAAACATTAGACATTTTTAATTTTGACCTACTAAAGATACTAACTATATTCAATTTTATTTCAGAAATCACCATTAAAAAATGAGAGATCAAAGTATTTTATAAATGTTATTTTCTTAATCATTGAAAAATCATAGGTTATCTCTAATTGATAAAATGCCAATTCTTTGACAAAAAAAAAAAAAAACAAAGTACCTATATAAAGATGTAATAAAAACGAATAGGATATCTTTCGAAGGACGAAGTGCAGCGATAGGAAATAGCAGTCTATATTTCTAATTAAAGTAGGTTAATTAAACGCATTATATTGCTCTAAATTTTAATCTTAAAATCCAACTCACGTTTTACATGTACCTATGACGTATTTATTTCCTATATTTAAAATTATTTAAGCATATGTTTATTTATTTTTAGTTTTCATATCATGTTAGTTGTTATACAATATTCAAGTATTAATATAAAGTCTACAGCAAGATTAATATGTAACTAAATAGGTAATAAAATAAAATAATTAAAATAATAAGATTTTATTTTGAATTTTTAATGAAAATTGTGTTTAATTAAATTATTCAAATGGATACTGATACGAAATCAAGCAGAATTAAAATCTAACATTATTACGATTTTAGTGCGTATCTAAGTATAATCTCTTTAAAAAAAATATGTTATCAACTCATTATGATTTGCATGCAAGTTTAGTTAATATTTTCTATACTAAATTATTTAAAAACTCCGAACAGTTGCAACGTTTATTAGTGGAATAGGTATTTCAAATAAATCAATTTAACCAACGAATTATATGTTGTATTATAATAATAATTGACAATATTCGTATGCGGTAATAAACTAATATGCATTTATTTAAATTTTATAAAATTAATTATCATTATTTTTGGAAAGTAGTCTTTGTGTCTAAATTACATTAAGAAAATATTTGAATAATAGTCTTATAAATATGGATAATGATTATAAATATTACCTTGCATAATTAAAACCAATACGGTTATAAAAACAGATTAACATAAAGTGGAATGATCATAAACCATAACGTATACTAACTATTTTGATTGTCTTAGATTGTAAATTTTTAATAAAAAATCTAATGAATACCACACAGAAACAAAACACTGTAGAAAAGCATCAGTTCTATCATGTGCAACTTGCCTGGTGTTCATAATTTTTTTTAGTAAAGATATACAAAAATCCAAAAGTATAAAAATTGTTCACAGAAACGAGAAAAAAAATATTTTTAAAATTCACAGTTGCCGTATTTTGTTTAATACAAGCATATTTCACTGGTTAATTAAATAGTAAAAATATTTTGTGATCGCTAAGAGATTTATGACGTACACAATGTTTTTATCTATACTGCAGTTTCGATCTTATCAATCTATTCGATCATGTAAAAATCCAATATTAAGTTTTATATATACAGTGTACCTACTCTCGATTATCCGTTTTCTTTCGCGAAATCAATACAAAATAAACTTCAAATTCAATAGTTAAAAAGACAAGAAGAATAAAAAAAACAACAACTCGTACCTATAACTGATTTTTTTGCATATAAATGATTTATAATTTTTCATTATATATGTACATGTGTATCTCTTATTTTTTATCATAAAATTTAAAATATTTTCGTAATATTATATACGAATGTTTAAATAAAAATAAAACATGCTATAATTTAATATTCCTTAAATACTATTTAAAATAACATGTTTTAATTTTTTAGTAATATTACATGTATAGAAACATGAATTTTGGATTTAATTTGAATTTTGAGGATTATCCGCAGATGTCAAGCCACTGTATGTATTCCGTGGATAATCGAGAGTACACTGTTTATGGTATAATATTGGAATTATAATAATGACCTTTTTTTTTTTTTTTAAATCTAAAAATTAAAATAACAATAGCAGTTATAAATTATATACTTATACGTATGTGAAAATATATCGTACAAGTATATTAAAATTTTATCGTATAGCTGCAAATATATTAGCCCAAAACGGAAATCAGACTTTTTTTAAAACAGACCTTGCGCAGGTGTTACCGGACCGGCGCGTACGATATTGTTTAATGGTTTACTGATTAATATATATTTTTATAGTTGTAGCAGCACGGGACACTTACCGAAAGCGTTCGATTATTACTGTTCTCGGCCCGTCCGATGCCTCCTACGACGAACACGTTCACGCGACCGCTGCCTTGCCCCGAGACGGCGTTCACAGCCGTTTCCAGCGAACAAGCGGACAATCGCGGGATGCGATCGCCGTCAACGAAAACGTAGTGCACGTCACCCGGCCCGACGTCCTGTCGAGCCGCCAGCGGATGTTTGGACGACGCGGTTGGACAACTTTCCCCAGGTGACACACGCAAAGCCACTGGCAAAGGTGGCGATTCGTACATTAGGATCAAGTACGTGGCCGTCATCAGGAAAACGACGAACACTGCCACCATCAGGAACCACATGAACACCATTGCCAGCTGATCCGGGACCGCGACCATGATTTTCTGAGCGCCCTTGTTCACTTTCGACATGTAACGGACGTCGTCTTCTTCGTCGCCGCCGTGGCGACATTTCCGATTAATCTTCATACTGCTGTTTTTTACTGCATACGCATGCATAAAAATATTTAATGGTTAAAAAAAAAAAAAAACAAAAACAAAAAATTAAATACGGTTTAAGTTGTTTTTTTTAACTGGTCTCCGTAATCATAGTTAGAAAATATGGTTTGAATAAAAAATTTAAAAAATATTTTTTAAATTTTGAATGGTGTTTTAGAACAAATGGGTAAATTATTAGAACGAAGAGAATATAATATTAATTTATGTTATCGAATTGAAATTATTTTTCCTATAAATTGTTGTTACTATAAAAATATTAATTTGTCGTGGAAATATTTTAGGTGATAAGTAACACATAATATGGAACACTGGATATTAAACAAGTAAACGACTAATTAATCAACACACTACATTAAATTTATAAAAGTTCACAATATTCAAACTACATAAAATATAACTTACGTTCAGTCAAGATTTGACGGTATCGAAATTAACAATGTAATATTATCGAAATCAACAATGTTATACGCCTATATTGTTATTATTAACCTTAACAACAAATCAAAAACAGAATATTATGCGACATAGTACATATTGCTCACAAATTATATTACTACGTATAATATAATATAAAATATACTTTGTAGTTTAGAAGCCACTATATATATATATATATATATATATATTACAAGTTGTGCAATGAACTCGAAAACAACATGTCCGATTTATGTGACGAAAAAAATATTGACATAAAAATTTTCAAATATATCATGTACAATTTATACTGTTGTATACGAATGACACCTATACTAATATACTACAATATAAAGTCATGCGTAAACAATATTTTATGTTGGCATGTCGAACAACGTAAATGTTTATAATTCACGAGTTAGTTTCAAAATATAAAGTAAGTACTTATAGTTAGCGAATGTGCAGTAAAAATAATATAACGTTGGCAGCTTTTTGTTATTTTAAATATAATCGATTTACTCAAAACGTATAAAATAACATTATAATTAGTTAGAGTTTAAAATCTTTGAAATGTTGTGAGAAATTATTATTAGTTTTGGTATTATGGTTTTTCATATTTTTATTAAAAATAATTTTTAGTTCAACACGTATTAGATAATACGTTAATACATTAGAATACGGTCTTTAAGTTTAAAGCTGTATTTTCACTAATGAGGAAAACAGTTACAATAACATTATTAGTTGTTTCTATGGTCTAGAAATTGTCATTTACGAAAACGCTGCGTGACTAAAGTGACTAAACTAAATATTTAATATAAAACAATTCTAAAATTGATAAATTTATTATATACTATATTTAAAATTAATTACCAAATAGGTATAATGGAAACATAAACTGGCATTTAATTGTTATACATAAATATATAGATAATATATTTCACCCATAAAACCAAATAATTTAAATTCAATTAAAATCGTTTTTATAAATTTAATCAATAATAACGTAATCATATTCATGACATGGGAAAGTTTCGTTTTATATATTATTATTAAATTATTTTGCATACGATTAGTAGTTAATAACGAAAAAAAAATTTAGTTTTTAATAGAATTGAATTATTTAATAAACCCATAGATAATTCAATATTGTACAAACATGCAACCATACAGAGTATCTATATCAACAATATGTCAATATATAGGTAATATTATTAATTTATAATAATAATAATAACTAAGAAAAATAAATTAGTAACTATTCATACTCAATAATATAGTAATTAAATATGTTCACAATATATTAAACTGGAATATTTAACTAGTTTTCCATATAACTTCATTAACATAGTTTATAGATTATAGGTGTAGGTATAAAACAATATTAGATAAAATATTTTGTTAAATATAAATCACGTACAAAGTTTATGGGTCAACACAATATACCCAATCATCACTTTGTACCTATAGACAATTTTTAAGAGCTTTAGTAATACTAAAATATGTTTGTACTCGGCTATGCATTTAAAATAACACAAAATTATTTAAACTAAAAAAGAAGACATTTTAAAAATTTTACCAATATATAATTTTTACCATAAATTAAAGATATAGACATGCTTGTAAACTAGTTGTTAATTTATTATATATTATGCATTATTATTATTATTGTAAGTTATAAATTATAATATATATAGTTCAAGTGTCTTAATAATATTTTAAAATAATACGAAATAAATGTATGGACTTTTTTTTGTATGATACTAAAATTGGCTTTTAAAATATAATCACAACCGTATTTCATAATAATATTATTTACCTACACCACTTATTTATTTCTGTAAGTTTTAAAGTTTGAACATTATATTTTAAACATTTTTAATTTGATTTCACAGGATATCTTTTAATAAATTTACTTAGTACAAATTAGTACCTACTCACCCTTTACCGGCTTGTCATTATACATAAAATTCGTAAATAATCAAACTTTTTAATTTTATACCGATAACGTTTTAAGCGATAAAAGATAAAACGCTCGTATAAAAACATATCTATGATACTTAGGATGGATTGCATTAAGATCAGCCTGTAAATTTGTTAAAGGCCTTGTAATTTACTGGCCCTGTAAGATTTAATGATTGTGTAAAATTATGCTAATGTTGTATAAAAAAATACTTAATTATTTATTATCGCAATTACCAAATAAATTAAACCACATTTTATATGATAAATTTAAATAATGATAACAATAATCATATTTAATATTATAACTAATCGTTCTGTAAGCATGTCTGTAAGTTCAGAACCAAAATCCGATCTGTAGTTTACAGGTAGGTCCACAAGTCGGTAGTGTTTAAACAGCCGTTATTACTATCGGGCTATTAAGCAACACCCTGCAATTGTATTTACTGAACGGTCAATGGTTAATGGTGCGATAACGATTCGGTAAGTCACTATAGGACGTTTATACCCTTAAATTATTGTATTTTTATTTAATATATTCCCATTGAAATATGCAAATCTGATATAATACACCGATTTAATATAGGTATAAGATATGTAAATTGAGATTTATTTTTGTACTAAACGTTATTATTGTGATACATTTCTATTATTAATTACTATACAACCACTACCTTCGTAATTTACGTGAATTAATATTTTCAATTTTCTTTTAGTTCGTATGTATTTAACGCAGCGGAACTTAATTTGCATTGAATATACATAGACGATTTTCAGATTATTAGAATTAAAATTACACAATATTATAATTTATATTATTTCCATTTCATTATATTTAAAGTTTAATTTAATGACTTATTAAATTACTACTTTTTACATTTTTGTTCTTCAATACTCTAAGCGTCGATTACTGTCTGAAAAAATAGTGATTAATAAGAATTAAGGAATTATTCCAACACTAATTATACTACAAAATAAAAAAATGCAGCTGATACTTTAATAGAGACAATTTAGTATTTTCAATTTTGGCATTTATATCAATAAGATGTCAATAGTGTGCGTATATCTACCAAGGTATATAAAGCTGTTAATAATAATCAAAACACTGAATTTTATGCGAAAATATCTTATACATTTTATTAAATTGTTTTTAATGTGTACCTCGATATCTTATAAGAGAACATTGCCCGCATATCATCTTAAGTGTTATTATAGATTTTATACCTAGTACCTACAGTAAACTCACATCTTATAATATTATAATATTGAACTTTGAAGTCGGGCCAGTTATTTACTATAAAATACAGTTATTATAATATATTATAATATGTTGATATTGTTTATGCATTAATTGTTTAATTAAATATTATATGATAGGTATATTTTATCGATTTCACGCTTGTTAGCTGCAGCATTTTATCACAATAAATAAAGCGAATTTAAGTTGTTTGAGTAGTCTTATTGTTCCGTAGGCTTATCGGATGCGCTCTTATCTCTGGAAATTTTGTGGGGAGCCGCAGCGCCAACATAACTGTTCGCGTGCCTTCGATCTTCACAGTTCATCGGCGGCTGGCCAACGACAACGACCTAAAACGTCTTCCAAAACACTTCCCGAGAATATCGTCCGAGAACACATCGTGCACTTGATTAAAAACATCACGATTCTTATAGTGTGAGACACACACTCATATCTATCCTCTTCACATATTGCACTTGTATTACCATCTATCAAGGGTATAGATCATATTGAAAAAGCTTCAATATGCCGGCGGTGCAAATCAACAAGCCTAAGGTAGAAAAACGCAAACAGATCAGTGTCAAGTCCATTGCGGATGTTGAGGATGTGGTGGCCATGAAGAAAACTTTCAACCGGCACCTGCACTTCACACTAGTCAAGGATAGGAATGTAGCCACAATCCGGGATTATTATTATGCGCTGGCGCACTCGGTCCGAGACAGCCTAGTGTCCCGGTGGATCCGGACACAACAGCACCATTATGCAGTCAACCCGAAGGTGAGTGTAGTCATTTGTATTGCGCATATTTCATATTTCACATTAAACAGACCAGATTGTGATAAATACAGGTGTCAGATCAAATGCATAATTATTACTCGTGTTGTTTAGGTATCTTAGTACTTTGCGACAGGTAGTCATAAAACGACCGTATAGTATGTAATGCAAAAATTGTTTATAATTGAAACTCTGTGATTCCTCTAAAACTTGTTTTTGAATACATAATCATTTAATATCACAGGTACTCCTGATATAAATTGAAATTAAAATGAAATTAATTTTAAATAAATATATACTATATAGTATGTACCTATACGAAGGTAAAAAAAAAATTGCCAACGGGCGCTAGATTTTGAAAACGTTACACGAGAATGTATTATTAATCAAAAAACATGTTAAAATATCCTCAAACTTAAATTATATCAAATATGTTAACTTTTGTGTAGTAAAATAGAAATTGATAATTGACAATAATGGTTATAGCCCATGATTGCAAAATTTGACTCTAACGCAATCCAAAATACGTTACAATAATACTAAACTTCAACTGAACTCGATCGTTATTGATGTATTTTTGAATTATAAAATTACTATAGTTATTTTTAATTTAAATAAATCATTAAATTTGATAATTAATAATTTTAAAATGAAACTTATAGTGTAACGGGTACAATATTAATGAATTTGCGTTTTTGGTCTATTGAAAAGAAATCCACGATTTGCGCTTTTGGGTTTCGCCGACAATAATACGTATTTTAAATTATATCATGTCCTATTAATACAAAATTATAATATCTTATAATATATTAGTACCCAATTGTTGATGTAAATTTAATAATCACGGCTATTCAATCTTGTATATTTAAAAATCCGACAATACGAAATACAAGTGATGTTTTAATAATCATAATATATAAATTTAAATTCTGATTTTTGAAATTTTGAAGAATACTTAAATACTGTGTTTTAAAATACTTAAATACTTTTTGCCATCTAAGGAGTATCAATACACTCTTTTTTTTTAGTGTAAATCATTTATCAAATATTGTTATATGTTGGTGTGTGTAAAATCGAAATCGAAATCCGAACGAGCGGTTTTTAATAAGAAATAAGACTGCAAAAATGCATATTATAAAATATAAAATATATTATGTAATATTTAATCTAGTGTCCAATAATTATAATTATTAATATTAATTACCTAACTACAAATTATAAAATTGTAATAAATTAATATTGATATAATCTATTAGAATTTTTAAATTACTATTATAATAAAAACCAGAAAATGTCAATAAAAAAAAAATTGTATCGCAAAATTACATTCTTTTCTTGGTAAAAACATCTGAGTATTAAATTTTTAAAATGGTTTTTAATTATTCTAAAAAAATTTGAATTTTAATATATATATAAAAAAAAAATTAAATAATGCTTGTTGAATCATACAGTTTATTATAAGCTTATTCGAATAAAATTTATTACTACACATTAAAGTGAAAGTTCTGCAAAATCATTGAAATATTAAATTAGCTAAATCGCACAAATGGTTAAAAAATATGAGAGTGGGTGGAATTTACTGTCATAAGATTAATATTGTACTTGATCTATTAGTATTACTATTGTATAGGGTTTTATGTATTACTTACATTGTGCACCGCATGTTGGTAATAGATTAAAATATTAATTATTATGTAGTGAATTCATATTTATCGTATTTCTTTTTTTAAACTACATCCAAGTCATGAACTATGATGTACTTACATGATATAATATGAGTAATGAGTACCTTATGCTCGTTTTACAATAAGCATAGATTATATACATGTAGTTTTAGAAATACAAATTTTGAATTATAACACACCGATTTGCAATATATATATATATTAATCAAAATAAATTAATTGAAATAAGATAAATATTAAACATATAGTAGCTATTATATTTAATATAGTTTCTACTAATCTTCTAATATGTATGTAAAATAATTATAATTTATAGTTATGCAATATAATAACGCTTTTGATACAGTTCAAATTAAATGTTTTAATTTTTTATTTATATCATTTTTATAAAACACAAAAAAAAAAATTGATAAAAATTTTTGTTTGAATATTTTGCATATTAATGATTCCTAAACATAATTTAAAAGTTACATAACTAATATTTATAATTGCAAATGCAAAGCAATAGTCCTGCACTCTTCAAATTTAAAATATTAACATACATTTCCTGTATAAATTTAAAATCTAAAAAGATTTTTAAGTAATATGAAAGCAAAATGTTTAATTGAAGTTTAAATTTAGAAAAAATACTAAAAAAAATTGAATTTATTAAAGTAACATTAAAATGTTTACGATAACATTAATTGAATAAAATTTTTTTATTATTTTTAATTTAATTGTTTGTGATTCAAATAAAATTATCTTGAACTAGTAAACAAGGTAGTAACAATAATAATATCAACCCATATAATCACTTTTAACACTTTAAACATAATAAAGTAAATAGTAATTTATTTTTATGTAAGCTTTAAGTGTATTTACTTATCAGTTAATTAAAATTGTATTTTTTAAACTTCATAATATCATAATTTTCTTGTTTATTGTTTGTACTATTTTTAAACTATAAGTTATCTATATATTTATAGTTTACCTATTAAATAATCACTAATAAATGTAAATTTTATACTCACAAATACGCTGAATTAAACTTTGCTATAAAATCTTTTATTGATATGGATTAGATATCCTTATTAGTCGTTTATAAATCGTTCAATGACTACAACGTCTACAACTGTGTTCAATTTATAGTTTGATGTGCCGACGCTATAATAATATAATCACTACATATAAGCTAGTTACATTTTTACCAATCTTTGTTCATGACTGGCGTGGTGTCGTAAAAAATCCAAACTGCCACAACTAACACATATCTATTTTATGCTATTGTTTTACTTATTTAGAAATACCTGAAAATAAAACTACCATGGTATTCACGGTAATGTGGTTTTACGTGCGCTATCTCAGATTTACTCTCAGTCTATTTGATATTTACAATGTAAAACAACGGTATTTTTCTTATAACAACGATAACACTATGCTAAATTATGTAGTGTACAACTTACAGTGGTTAATAACTATCATAATATTATTAGGTACCTATGTAATCTAATTTGGTCAAACATCATAGTTTGTAAATTGAAAATCATAATTTTTGAATTTTATTTAAAGGTAGTTTCTACAAAATGTTGTTAAAAATAAATACAATAAATAGACTCTTTGTAACTTGTACCGTATATTATTTAAATTACGTTTATAAAATATAGATAGATATTTAGTAACATTTAAAAATACGAATATTATTATGTTGTAAGTAATAAGTATACATAAACAATTATACAGAACAATTTTTCATTGTCCGAGTAATTTGAATATATATTTTGATCGTTTTCTTAAAGATCTTTTACAAAAAATGATTCTATTCATATGTACATAAGTACATAACACTTGGTTATTGACTTTTAACCTTGTTGAAGGTGGTTTTAAATATATACGGGTACACACTAAAATTTGGCAACAATATAAGAATTTATAGTTAGTAATAGTTACACATAATTTAATTAAAGTGATGCCTTGACTTTTGTTAATACTTAATATCTACTTATATTACCTTGAATTAATAAAAATACAGTATAGCATAGTTGTAATAAAATAAAAAATAAAAATATACCTAATGTTTTTGTGTTTTAATTTATTTTAATTTTAATTTGTATACAAATGAAAATTAGAATCTATGCTGGCTGTATCATTATTTTTTTTCAATAACATTCAAACAAGTACAAATGCTATTCAAAAATATTGTGCATTCATAAATTCAATTGTTATAAATATTTTTAATATATATATTTTTTAATTTTTAGACTGTAATATTATTTTTAAGCTAACAAAAATTAAATGTTTACATAGATTTATGACTTATTAGTTCTCATCACTAACTACCCTAGTATCACGGATTATAGATATTAAGCAATCAATTATTATACACGAAATACAAATATTTTAAAATTTAAATACTATTTACTTTTTCAAATACTCTTCTGATTGTTGCTTAAAAATTTGATATTTACGTTAAAAAGTTATATTTTTTTAACTTAAAACTAACGCAAATCGTCAAATGTCAAATGATTAAGTTGTGTACACAAAATGATTTAGTTATTGAATCTTGAAAACAAATTATATATTAAGAGTTATAAATACAGTGTTTTATATTATGATATATAGACAGGTACTAAATTATAATAATGTAATATAACAAACATTAGTCATTACTAACCTATAAATAAAATTTAATCTGAAAATGTAAATCGTTATGTGTAACGTTTCAGATATTAAAATTAATATTTAATATACCTAATAATATATATATTATACTGATATAGTTATGTATAGTCGTGATTCGTAAATATCAAGTTTTATTATCTGTATATGACTTTTGAACGAAATTGACCTATACATTTATATTTAAAAGAAAATGAAAAATAATTTGTTAAATAATAGGTATAAAATTATACGTTATAATAAAAATAATAATAGCTTACCAACTAATCTTAATTGATGAACGGGTCATCATTTTTAGATTTATTTTTAATTTTTTACTGAGTAATATCTCAGTTTGTTTTAAATTATGATACATATTTTAATGTGTATAGTGTATACAATAACTGTTATTAAAAATCCACAACTCATAATACAATTGCATGTTAATGTTTTTCCATGACAAATTAATTAATCTATTATCTTAATATCTTATACATCATCAAAAATCGGTTCGGTAGCAATTTTAATAATACATAGATAGATCATAAAGGTTTAGTGTTTGACAATTATTTTATTAAGCCATAAATACGCATAAAATAATTATGTTGAACTATTTAAATGTTGAACTGTGATCAAAAAAATAGACAAGGTAATTAAGTCCAAGCATGCTAACCTCGATTTTTTATTTAATAATAAAATTATTCAAACTTTGATTTTAAAAATGTTTAAGTGTAGGTACATATTAGATACTTATTCTTTAACATCTAAGGACCATATTTATAATTATTTAAATTTTTGTATCATCTAAGGAGTGTCCTGTGTCAATGCAAGCTATCTAATTTAATAAAAAAATGCCATGGTAATGACCTTTAAATGTTATTTTTTCATACAACTGAAGTCTGAAAGCTAGTTCTAAAAATTACTGTATAATATAACTTATTATCAATTTACATTTGAGACTTTGAGAGACGTCTGACTGAAACAGAAAATATTCGTAAATTATCGTATAGTTATAGGCTAACACCGATTTATTTAATTTTCATCAGTATACTTCAGTACCTATAGTGTTTTACTGCTCGGGGTACTTATCATTTATGCTCAACAAATACTAAAAATACTGCTGTACAATGATTGAGTTAAAATAATAATGGGGTAGGTACTTTTTAAACAAATCGTTTTTATAATAATTATAATTTTACACAAATTAAATAATCTATTTATTCGAATTTTATTATTATATTTATTATTATTATTTTATTATTTTATTTGTTTTTTATTGTTTAATATTCTATAACATATAAGATATTATGTTAGGTTCAGTATAGTCAAAGTCATCTAAATAAACATTTGTACTTTTGATAAATTTAGATCGCTGTGGTCGTCTCGTAAATATTGTGCTTATGTTGCCAAATTTTTTTATCCTAACGGAAAAAAATATATGTATAACAATATAAGAGGCATACGGCTATATCAATATTGTAAAATCAGTAATCTTGAGTTGTTTTTTTTTTTTTTTTTACTTATACATCAATAATCTATCAACTCAAGTAAAATCACATTAATATTAAAACATATAATGTAGGTATCAATATATGACGTGTAATGTAAATAGATAGAATAGATACCTTCTAACTTAATTTATACATACCTAGTGATCAATTTAATTATCTATACATTATTTTTATTTTTTATGATTTAAAAATAGAAAGTAACATGAAATATTCAGTTTTTATAAAATTTAAATGTTTTTAAACAAATAACTATTCAATATGCATTAATTTTATTTTAAAGAAGTACTCAGATAATAAAATTAAAAACATAAGTCAAGAAAACCACATAAATATTCTGAGGAAATCAGCGAAGTCATCACCCAAAAGAGTTTATCCAATATATAGACATATATTATGAATAACAATAATATCGGTTAATGCTACACGATTTAGGTATACCTATCTGATACTTATCGATGATATTTTTTGCGACACTATAAATACTGCTACGGTAATCTGCACGACAAAGTAGTAATTTTATTATTATTGGACGAGTGGATTATTATATTTTCGTCGCGAGATTACCGCGACGATTGTATCAAGTCTGTTAACTCAGTTGTCGTCGCACTGTCGTCGCACTGTCGTGCCGGCATAACGATAATATTCCTTATCACGTCCAATACACCTACGTTATTTGTTTAATTTATCTTTTCGCATCTCTTCGTTCACGATTCGTGTGTCGTGATTGTTGCACGCACTATAGAAAAAAATCGTCTATATAAATCCAAAATCGTAATATACCTATACTTATTCTACTTTGATCGACACAACCGAGACCGTTACCATGCCTTTGGCCAATCTCGAACAGCTCAGGAAGCAAATCAGCGTGGCATCAATCGCCGGTCTGGAGGATGTTATTTCGATGAAAAAGTCCTTCAACCGACACTTGCACTTCACGTTAGTCAAAGACAGGAACGTGGCCACGACCCGGGACTATTATTTTGCGTTGGCCTATATGGTTCGGGATAATCTTACTTCCAGGTGGATACGTACGCAACAACACTATCACGACACCGATCCAAAGGTACTTACGCCTATACGAAGCTAATGTTATCGTTTTCGTAGATTATTCGTCATTCGCCCCGTCTCGCGACCTAGATCTGACCGTCTCCATAGTAATAGTCATATATGTATTTTTTTACGAGTTTTCTAAAAATATTTTCAAGCGCCTGTAACCTACATCACACCATAGCCAAGTTGAATCGTAACACATGCTGCTACCGTGTTCAATTTTTGATCAGCGCGTTGTGTAATAAACAAGAAACGTGTTATTTCAATACTTCGTCTGTTATATAGTTTTCTGGACGTTCGATATGAAAACTCTTAACATTAAAATTCAAAGTTGACCTACTGTCATGCATATTTACTATTTTCATCTAACCATACCATTATGTATATTGTATACATATATATAATAATTAGATCACTTGATCATAATTTCGTAATAATGTAATATACGATAACAGTTTTGTACATTATTATTATTGAGATATCGTATAGTAGTTTAGACGAGTATAATAAACTATTTTCACTAATTATAATTATTTACTGAGTCGTGTTTAAGTTTCTTTTTCGTATAGGTTATCGCGTTAATGATTTTGTATATTATACAGGGACTTATACATTTCATTTTTCAATAACGTTAATTTGCACGAAATATTTTATCGTATAGTAAAATATCATATTATATTATTATGAATTATGAATCAATTTATTCTCAACTCTCGTACGAGTTTTAATTATTTGCAGAATATTATTACTTATTACTTTTTGTAGGTCAAGAAACATGTATCAAACTCAATCAGAAATCGAATTTAACATGTTCTATTTTATAATCTTGATTATTTTGTGCATATTCCTTATCAACAGATACATTAAAACGATACACGTTTTTACCTATCGATTGTGTGCCAGTTTCCCTGCATTTATATATATTTAGGTATACAATGATAACTTTGAAAAATTATGTACAAAGAAAATACATGTAATAATTACTTATTTGTAAATCGAAAAAATACGGATTAGTTTATTAAAACTTTAATTTTACTTTAATTATTCATACGAGTATCGCATCTCTAATAAATGCGGAAAGTTGTAAAAAGTATTTACAATCTTGGGTACTTATTTGATGGTTGTTGTATTCGTTTTTAAATATTTATTTTTTCATCGCCTAATCTTCAAATTTAGAAATTTCAGTATAAGTAACTTAAATAATTAAATAAACATTATTCATTTATATTATTACGTAAAAATAATTTTAAATTAACATTAAAGCTTGAGTGTATTTAAATATTTAAAAATACGCTATAATAATTTTTAAATAACACATCAATACGTATCAAAAGTTTGCACAATCCATTAATTGGTTATATATATATATTTTAATTATAAACGTTCAAGTTTAAATTTTGGATTTTGAGAACAAAATGTAAAATTAATCTTAACTAAGTGAACGTGAAAACATTTAAACAGCAATTTTATTTCTGTAATGTTTTCGCTGTACTTGGTGTTTTGGTAATTGGAAATAATATGATTTAAGACTATACAATCGTACAAATAATTTATTGGATAGGTACCAAATTATACTCTCGTATTTTAAAATCGTTATCATAGATTTAAAGACGTAACATGAAAATTGATAACATTTCATTCTTAATCTCAAAAACTATAACATTAATAACTTAGTCATTAGTAAAACTGTAAGAGATGTTGTGATTAAATGTTTAAATAGAATATTAGGTTTTATTTCAAAAATAACAATTTTAAAGTTTTCTGCCGAAAGTAGATCAATGGAGGTTTGTAGGCAAAGTGAACAGGGAAAACATAGCTTCCTATGTTATACGTACACCTGTAATATATAGATAATACTTAAATAGAAAAAATGAAAATAATATTAGAAATAAAATAAAAAATATTCATTTTACTTTATTACACTAGACAATTTTTAAATATTTCTTTTGTTTATTCTGTTGGAAATAATATTTAAAAAAATAATTTTTCATATTATGCATTAATTATGGTTGAATTTCGGTTTGATTTATCTTACTTTATTTTCAACGATATTTATTTTATCTTTTGTCAGTTTATCACATTAAAAAAAATAGAAATGTTTAATTTTTATTAATAATGATACGATTACTTTGGTTTTCAGCGTGTTTATTATTTGTCTTTGGAGTTCTTGGTTGGTCGTTCTCTCCAGAACACTATGATCAACCTCGGTATTCAAAGTAGTGTTGATGAAGCATTGTATCAAATGGGATTAGATATCGAAGAATTGGAAGATCTTGAGGAGGACGCCGGTCTGGGAAACGGTGGTCTAGGTCGTCTGGCTGCTTGTTTTCTAGACTCCATGGCCACTTTAGGTCTAGCAGCTTATGGTTACGGTTTGAGATACGAGTATGGTATATTTGCTCAGAAGATAGTTAACGGTGAACAGGTAAATTCAAAATAAGTGCCCATATATTATACATGCATCGATTTACACACTGTATAATGTAATTTTCAGATTGAAGAACCAGACGATTGGCTCAGATTTGGAAACCCGTGGGAAAAAGCTAGACCCGAGTATATGTTACCAATTCATTTCTTTGGAAAGGTAGTAGACACACCGACCGGCAAAAAGTGGATCGACACTCAAGTATGCATAATATTATCTTAATATGACCGTACTTAGTACATGTTATTTATTAAATTATAATTTATAACTTTTCTAATACTATAATGAATGTTCTATGTTTTTATGTTTGTACATAATTTATAGGTTGTGTTCGCGATGCCGTATGATAGTCCAGTACCTGGATATCAGAACAACATCGTTAACACTATGCGATTGTGGTCTGCAAAATCTCCAGTCGAATTCAACTTAAAGTTTTGTAAGTCAAATCGTAACTGTAAATATATATATATACTATTACTATATAAACTAAATACATTTAAGGATTTTCGACTTTTTAATCAATACTACAAAAAAAAAAAAAATAAATAAAAATAAAAACTGTTGATAATTTTGTATTTTATTTATTACAGTCAACGACGGTGATTATATTCAAGCTGTTCTCGATAGAAATTTAGCTGAAAATATAACTCGTGTTTTGTATCCCAACGACAATGTATTCGAAGGCAAAGAGTTGCGTTTGAAACAGGAATATTTCATGTGTTCCGCTACGCTCCAAGTACGTAACATATTATACATGGGATGTCAGATATTATTCAGTTGGGCTACATTAACTTTCATTCAACTATTAAATTTTTTTTTTAAAGTTTTTAAATATATATTGCAACATTTTTTCAAAAAAACTTATTTTATACGTTGATGGTCTTTTAATATTTCTTTTAATAGTATCTCCTGTGACCTGTGTTATTAATTTTATAATCAGAATCAAAATAATTTTCCAAAAATTTCAATATAGGAGTGTGGAATATGGATAATATATTAAGAAAAATATTTTTTATTAATAATAATTTACAGTTTAGATAAGTAAATTCAAACGGAAGACATTCAATACACAAGTCCCCGTTTATATTACAAATTATTACATATCATTTAAAATTTTTGAAACTTGGGTTTTTGACCATCGTTTATTTTATCCAGGACATTATCCGAAGGTTTAAAGCGACGAAAAAAGGTGAACTGCGAACCGACTTTAACTATTTCCCAGACAAAGTGGCTTTGCAGTTGAACGATACTCATCCGGCATTAGCCATCCCAGAGTTGATGAGAATCCTCATAGACATCGAAGGTCTATCGTGGGAAGCCGCTTGGGACATCACCGTCAAAACTTGCGCTTACACCAATCACACTGTATTGCCCGAAGCATTGGAACGTTGGTCAGTGTCATTGATGAGCAGTATATTGCCGAGACACATGCAAATCATTTACGAAATCAATTTCCTACACTTGCAAGTAATAATGACAACGAGCTAAATTTTGTTTTATACATTGCGTTTACCGTATTAATTTATTGTGATAACCAATCATTTATATTGCATCTAATTACTAAAATGCGATTGTGTTCTCGCAGGAAGTACAAAAACGTTGGCCAAACGACAATTCGCGCCTGAAGAGAATGTCATTGATCGAAGAAGACGGAGACAAGAGAGTAAACATGGCTCACTTATCTATTGTCGGATCTCATGCTGTCAATGGCGTAGCTCGTATTCATTCAGACATCATCAAGAATGACTTGTAATTATTATCAAATAACATTATCATGTTTTATTAATATCCATCTACGTATATACGCACATTACACATTAATCATATTAGATTTAAAGTATTAAAATAATTAATATTTCAACACATTCAGTAAATGTTTATAGTATATACTTTAAAAATATTTAAAAAAATATCTTGCTGTATTATTAAGTATGAGAACCGCTTTATAATAGCAATTATTATTTTTACCATTTAAATGTCAAAAAATTTATATATATATATTATAGTACCTAAATGTTTTATTCGAATTTTAGGTTCAGGGACTTTTACGAACTGTCACCAGAAAAGTTCCAAAACAAAACCAATGGTATTACACCACGTAGATGGTTACTTCTCTGCAACCCCAATTTATCAGATATCATTGGAGAGGTATAATAATTGTTATATTACATTGCACTATTTTTATAAACAACTTCACGTAAATTATTAATGTTATAATGTTATGATTTATGTTTACACATTCTATTTTGTAGAGAATCGGTGATAATTGGATCACGCATTTGGACGAGCTGACAAATTTAAACCAACTTGTAAACGATCAAAGCTTTATTCTAGATGTACAAAAAGTCAAACAAGAAAACAAAATGAAATTAGCTCATTGGTTGGAATCCGAGTACAATGTCAAAATCAATGTTAACTCGATGTTTGATATTCAGGTACCTCTACTTATATACATATAAGTATGGTATATTATATACTATAATCATATAACATAATATACATAGTTAAGTTAGGTTAAATATTCTTTTATTAATCAAACGACATGATATGTATATAGGTGAAGAGAATCCACGAATATAAGAGACAACTTTTGAATTGCCTGCACATTATCACCATGTACAACAGAATCAAGAAAAACCCAGATAAAGAATTTGTACCTAGAACAGTTATGATCGGTGGAAAGGTAAATCACCTAATTTCTAAATAATATAACACATCATTACAATTTATAAAATGTTTATTTTTCCGCGTGCTGTGGGCATTTGTACAAAAGTGTCACTATAAATCCTGTTTATCATATATATATATTATATAATGAGTTTATATTGATATGGTTAATTATTTTTAAGTCAAAAAGTAGATTGAAGTGCGCAAATGTTCATTGCTCACACAATTTTAAATTTTAAGTGTATATAATGCATTCATTCGAAAAATATATTGACATAAATGCGTTTTGGTTGTTGTATTTTAGGCCGCCCCGGGTTACTACATGGCCAAAAAAATTATTAAGCTCATCAATTATGTTGGCAACATAGTCAATAACGACCCAGAGGTCGGAGACCGTCTGAAGGTGTTGTACTTGGAAAACTATCGAGTGACTTTTGCTGAGAAAATCATGCCGGCAGCGGACCTTAGCGAGCAGATATCTACTGCGGGAACTGAAGCGTCTGGAACTGGCAACATGAAATTCATGGTATGATACATTTCGCTTTATATAATAATCTTTTATTTATGTGACGTAATTATATAATTATTGGACAAACTCTATATGCGGTGCGTCGGTGCCTAATGTTGATGGTATAAAATCAAACCATATTTTACTATCGTTACATCATTTAAGGTAAATAGTTATTCAAACTTTAGGAGAGAGAAGATTTTTTTTTATTTAATTTATAAATAAATTCACAAAAACCCCTTTCTCCTTTCTCTATCGACGTTTTTGTTTTCTGTAAATTATAATCATAAATATTACCTACATTTTGAACAATATTATCGAAATACAAAAAAAAAAAAAAATTCAACAACTTGTACCTATAATTCGTCATAATGTCATATAGAAAGTATAAATCATAGCTCAATAATAATGAAACAAAACATTTCTATTGGGAAAAAACAATTAATATCTAATTTTTTATTGAATACTTTACCTTAGTAAAAAAAAAAATATGTAAAGCCAAAGTAATTCATCGTATAAGATCGTATTCATCAATACTAATCCATTGCATCTTGTATACACAGCGAACAGAGACCAAACGCGCTGTGTTGTGTGATAATCGTCTGAATTAACCGGTAAATTATTTATTTTCAGTTAAACGGTGCACTCACCATCGGTACGTTGGACGGTGCTAATGTGGAAATGGCCGAGGAGATGGGATCTGAAAACATTTTTATTTTCGGGATGAATGTCGACGAAGTTGAATTGTTGAAGAGAAAAGGCTATAATGCTCATTCGTACTACGAATCAATACCCGAACTCAAACAATGCGTAGACCAAATCCAAAATGGATATTTCAGCCCCAATAACCACGACGAGTTTAAGGACATCGTTGACGTTCTCCTCAAATGGGACAGGTATGTCGATCGACGTTCGTTATTCGTTACAATATTTCATTATAAATTCCTTCATAGCAATTAATAAATATTGTTAACCATGGATCACGATATAAAATACTAAAATACTATATTATTATTATTAAATATGTATTCTGATTTTTTCAATTAGATTTTTCCTGTTGGCCGACTACCAAGATTATATTAGAGCTCAGGATAAAGTCAACGAAACTTACATGGTATGTAAATGTAATGAAATCATAATGATAATTTAAAGCAGAAAACTTATAAGCTATAATAGATAGTAAAACGAATCAAATATGCGTGAGCACTATGAGTGTTTTAAAAAAAATTATAAATATGCATTAAAAAAAGATACTTGTTATAATATGTACAGTATTTTCAGGGGTTAATTTAAGTATTGAAGTTTTCAACTCCTTCAAGTCTCTAGTCACCTAAACTTACGATTAAGGTTTTGCTTGTAAAACAATTTCGAACTATTATCCGTATGTAGGCTTATGCTAGGACTTATCACAATTTACAATATCTTCAGTAAATTATCTGTAAATATATAAATTACTATTAACTGTTTCTGAAGCAGAGAAATTATAACCCTACAAACACTTAATATTTAAGCACGTATACGCTTAAAACCATAAAATATGTTTTAAAAGTATGATCTTATTTTTTATTTTTAAGGTTTAATAATTAATAAATAGCATATAAAATAATAAAATACAATTTTTCTTTCAAATATATTTCATACATTATTCAAATAAATAAAAAGATTAGTTTTTCTAAATTAAAGTAATTTTTATTTTTATTTATTGGGAAATATGTACCTAGTCAATAAAATTGATTGATTGATTGATGAACTCAATTAGTTTTTTGATTAATTTGACATTTCTTTTTCTGTACGCTGCGTACTGACATAATGTCGGACAGTATGAGCTTAAAGTAAACAATGAAAAAATATCTTGTTAATAATAAACGTAATTAAAATACTATAATAAAAAAATATGCAGCATTAATTACAGATTTGGATTTTTGATAACAGATTTATATCTATTTGTTTTTTTTACATGGTTGCGTAAAACAAATATGCAAATACTAGAAATCCCAACCCCCAATATTATTATCCACACGGTGTGATGATCGCGATCGTTTTTAAGGGGGCAGGGGTGAGAAATTTAGGAAGAATAAAGAGTATAAGTCTTAAGTTATTCTTAATAGAAGGCGGCACTTAAAGAATAGTGTCCAAGGGTATACGGTGTGATGATCGTTTTTGGTGTGCGTGTGTGGCCATCGATTTAATATATGTTTACATTTATTTTTCCTTTTTTTAACAATCTGTTTCTTTGTATAGGATCAGACCAAATGGACACGCATGTGCATCCGTAACATCGCGTCGTCTGGAAAATTCTCGTCCGACCGCACGATCACTGAGTACGCCAGAGAGATTTGGGGCGTAGAGCCATCATGGGAGAAATTGCCGGCTCCACATGAACGTATTGCAGATCTCCCGAAGCAGTCGTAATAATATACTATGTCGATGATGATAGTAGTATACTTGCAGAAACATAATATTTAATATTTTAATATAATATATTTAATATTTATAATAGGTACGCTTACGTGCATATACGGTTTTAAAGTTGGAAATTTTTTTCTTTTCAACAATTAAGCAAAAAATAATACCTAATATATATATATATTTATGTCTGTTTTTGAAATATTGTGTTCCTCAGTTTATATAATTTCATGATAATTTATTTATTTTAATATTTTAATTAATACCTTTTTTAACACATAAATATTATTGAATTATACATATGGTTTGTCGCCGTAATAATATGTTCACATACTATCTAATTATATATATTTGCTTATTGTATAAACGTACCTATGTGAATTTTTTTAATTTTAATGAATTATGTTTATCAATTACTTTTTATGATGTGGATTCTTGAATATTATACACTTATATTATGCATAATCTAAGTTATATTTAATCGTTACATTAAGAACACCCATATTATATTATGTTCCGTTTAAAACCTTAAATTAACTTATAATTCATACTTATTTAATTTCAATGAAAAAAATATGAGGACTAAAAAACGTTAAATGTTTAAATTGTTTAATAATATAGTCAAATAAAACCTAACCTAACCTGCTATTATCTAAGAATTCTTAATTATGTCTTGTTTAAAATATTCCTAGGTACAATCATGGTGATGACCTATGCTGAATTTTAACAAATGATAGGTAAATAATATTTAGTAAATACCTATGTCCTATGCCTATGCCTAAATGATTGATACTGTATTATTAATATACCTAATTTCCCAAGTAGATTTATAAATTTAGTATAATATCATGTGTTGAAAAAATCATTAACTACATTCTAAAATATTATTAGATTATTAAAAATTGGCTTTGACTACAGTTTGACCCTCTAAAATATCAACTACATAGATCTGATTTGTTACCTTTCTGAAATCATTCACAAAGTTGAAGATTAAAACAATTTAAAAAAAAAAAAAAATGTCTTCAAACACAAACATTACAAAGAAATATGTACATTATTGTAAAAACTAAAAAATTTGATGATACACTCAGAACTCCTAACATTTGAACGTTTATAACATATTTATTAACATTTTTATTTAGATACACAAAACTATAGAACACTAAAATATGCACTTATTGTCTTATTTTTACAGTTTGCAAAATGATTTATTGAAACAACTATTATTTAAACAAGAACAACAGGTAAAGCTAAAAAAAAAAATGTTTAAAAACTATATACATTAAATCCATAACAACAAACAATTTATTTTAAAAAATACATGATAAAATTAATTTAAAAAATAATGGTTTTTACTTGTTTAGTCATATCTGTTCTTAAATAATAGAAAGTGCAGTATACTTGTTGCCTAGTTTATTACAAAATAATATACAAAAAATTGATTAGTAATTACACTTTTTGAAATTCACAATTCTAAAGATTAAACAATTCAAATCAAATGATCACTCATCATTATGTTATTTTATTAGGATTTAAATATTAAATTAATCATTAAAAATAGACTTAACAGGTCAATTTTAAATGTACATGGTATATATATTAATTATAAATGAAAAATTTTAATTCAAATACACTAATACATTTCACTTGTAGTGTAGGTACATATGAAATTAAACAATATTTAAAGTATTACAAATTTCAGTCTTTAAAATCATGTCATTGAGATCATAATCCATAATATTATTATCACCAAAATTTGTATTTGTTCTTAACAAATTTAACTTTTGACTTATAAATAAACAAATGGTATTATATTAATTATAGGAAAAAAATATCATATTTTAATCACTTTTGATAGCCATTTTACAGAAATAGATGTATGTATACTTGCAGTACTAATAATGTCTCTAATAATATTAAAATTTCTAATCGGAACATAATTCTTAAAAAATATTTTTTAAATTGAAATTGTATTTTTTATTTTTAGAGTGCGCATTATTAATTCTAGAATAATTTTTAGATGGTTCTATTTTGACCTCTTCTTTAACATTTACAATCATATTTATGTTTGCTGTATTGTATGGTACCAAACTAGAAAATAATGCTGGTAACCTAAATATGGCAACAAGGCGTTTATGTAATTTCTTAGATTCTTCATCATCCCAATCAAAATGCATATTGGAATTTTTACAGTGATCGATTTTTATACTTGAAGTTAAAGAATTCATATATGTATACAACATTTTAAATGTCTCATGATTTGGTGGTACAGAACCAATGGACTGTAGAGGTAGTAGTAGATCTTTCTTTTTTTCAATAAAGTTTTTTGTATTAATACTTTCTTTAGGTTGTTTCTTTTCAATATTTCTTAATCTAATGTCTAATAAACCTTCTATTTCACTTAAATCGGAATTAATGATATCACTTGTTTTTAGGACATTGTGAACTCCTTCGTGAATCATTAGTGGGTCATACAAATCAGGCTCATCATCACAGGAATCTAAAGCCATTGCATCAATGGGACACTCTGATAAATAAGTCATCATGCTTATAAGTCCTTCATCAATCAAATCATCTGTATGGGCAAAAGTTTTGGGTACAACCAAATCAACTCCCAAATAATTAAGTACATGTCTATAAAGATCACATTTACTAGAAAAATTGCAATTGTCAATAACAAACTTATTTTCCAAGTATGCTTTTTTCAACTTGCGATCAGCAGTTGTTTCCATTAGTTTATTAGATGTTTTAAGCAATTGGCGATTGTGTTTAAATTTTTCATGTAAATTTCCATTTAATTCATCTTCTGAAAAAAAGGATAATTCTTTAGATCTGTAAAATCGGAACGGGCGTGCAATATCGTCAACAGTTAATTTTGGGTTCATTTTAAATTTTTTTTCAATTAATTTTAATCTATGACGGCATTGTTCTGCGTTACGCCCAGGTATCTGTTGAGATACTTGTGTCCAAGTAAATTCATTAGGTGCGTAAGAATTTACAGCAGTTATTAACTTTTTGTCTTCTTCAATTGTCCAACCACCTCTATAAATATCTTCATATAATAACATTCTACGATAAGCATTTCGAACTTGTGCAGGTGTTCGATTAGTTAGATTCATTGATACTATTGCTGGAGGTAAATTTTTGATTTTAGCATTTTTAATAATATATTTTTCACTATCAGTCAAAAACCCTTTCTTAATGCCTGGTTTTAAACTCTGCATCCATCTGTTAAAACAAAAGCAAATTAAAAATGAATAAATTATACACAAACACTTTTTCATAAATATCTACAAAGTTGTATTTATTATCTAATTTCTCTAAAAAATAATAAACAATATTTTTATTTAAAATGCTATATGGGTCAATAAACCACAAGTATTTGTAGAGAACATTTAACTAAGAAAGCTATGTTAGTTTTATTTATCTAAATACTCGTAAATGTGCAATTAAAAAAGATTAAACCAATAGAAATTATCCAAAAATAATGTATAATTAAGTATCAACCAGTTTTAAATTTTATTTTAGAAATTTTGCTAAAATTTATAATTTATTACTTATGTTAAGTTAATGGTAATAAGCATGAAAAACTAAAATTGTTCTCAATTTCAAGTATTTGAATTGCAATCTCTAAAAAATGATATTGAAAAACCAAAACAAAATATTTTTATGGATGTTATAACTTAATTTAAATATACAATAGTCTAAACAAGGATTAATTTATTTGATTTTATTATGAAATAATATAATAAATAATAAATTCATAAAAATAGTAAAAAATGAACAAACCTGCCATAGATTTGATCGACAGTTCTCTTATTATCTTGCATAGCAAAATACACTCTTTGCCAATTGATAATATTATCTACAGAGTTTTCTTTAATTACATCTATAAGTTTCTGATCTTCTTGTATTGACCATTTACCTCTTGTGTGTAACATTTTCTTATATTTTTGATAATGAACAAAGCATTGTAACTCATTGCGGTTAGTACCCAATTCATCAGCTATTCGTTGCCAATTTTTTTCCTCATTTTTTTCAACAATTTGAATTAAACGGTCATCCTCACTTTTAGTCCATCTAGCTCTAGATACATGAGGTTTTAAAATTAAATTCCAAAATCTTTGACATTGTAAATAAGGTTTATTAACTTCTTTTGCAATATGCAACCAATCATATTTAGAGTCCGAGTCCATAAACTGAAAGATTAATTGCTTAAACGGTGTTTTGGTTATAATTTCTAATTCTTTTTCAAGATCTAACATTTCAATTTCAATTTTATGTTTAATAATTGGATCACTTTGTTTTTGTTGATCTAAACCAAGACGTAAGTGCTGTTCAAGCATAGGAACTTTTAATTTATTCAATACTTCAGCATGTATTGCTTTTTCTAACTTATTTTTAAACTCTTGGTTCCATTGATTTCTTTCAACACATTCTTCAAATATAAATCGCCCATTGTACGATAATATTAATCTTTCAGTTTCATATAACTCCATAAGATGAGGATTTCGTGGGCAGTTTAATAAACCAATTTTAAAAAAGTTTGCCAAATGAGCTTTCATTTTCAATTTTTTCATTTTAACTTTAGACATACATTTTTCTTCAAATTTTATACAATTAAAAGCTTTGGTTACATTTCTATTTGAAATTTCAATATTTCTATTAATTTCAATCATCATTTCTTCCAAATAAACTATATTACGGCCCAAAATATCAATGAATTTAGTACATTGTTCTAATAACTCTACAAGAGTATAATTACTTTGTTCAAAATCTTGATTAAAATCTATGCAATTAATTTCTTCAAAAAAATCTTGAATATTAGGATTTGTTTCAATTTGATTAAATTTATAACTATTATTTTTATTCAAACTTTTAACTATACTTGTTGGAACTTTTAAATTTTCATTAGCATCATCATTATTGAATTCATTTTCCAACCATGTAAAATCGTAAGCAGCAATCGATTCAGTTTCTGTATTTACAAATTCTTTTGATGGTCCAGGAATTGGATTACCATATGCGTCCATATTTGTTTATTTATTTAAAATTTAATCTATAAATGAAAAAGAAATACTTTATATTAATTTTGAATGAAATGGGTATAAAAAGTTATTTATGCTTAAATACTAGCAAATTCTTTAATAGTTTTTAAGTGGTTTGAAAATTGTTCACACAGTCGCTAGTTATTTTTATGTTTTCATAATTTGACACTTAACTAAAATTATGATTTAACTATCTAAACTACACTTTAAGAAGGTAACTAAATATATTACACGAGCAATTATTTTTTTATATTAAATAGATGAAAAGATTGTTCTTATACAAAGAATGCAATATATTATGTATGATAAAATAATAAAAGTTACAAATAATGAAATATTTGAAATTTTAATAAAAAGGAAGAAAATTATTGGTTAAATTCAGTTTTTTTAACAGCTATTAAGAATATAGACAACTTATTTAGTACCAAAATTTATATCATTTAAAATACTTAATTATAACAATACAATATTCTTACAAAATACTTATCATTATACTATGTTTAAATTGTTTAATAATATATAATATCTAAATTTTATAGTTGTTGTCCTTGAATAAAATTTATATTAAAAAAAAATTTTTAAATGTCAATAGTTTGAAGTACATAAGACATACATTATGGTAAAGTCTAAATAACTGTTTTTTATAGTTTTATCACAACAAACATTTTAAAAATAATCATTTTTGCGAAGTAAAAAAAAAAACTGGGTTTTTAAGATAAATCGTGTTTAAATTAAATTCAAATAATTTGATTTTTAAAATAAATAAATAAATTTTTATTATCAATAATAAAAAAATACTTGAAATTATTTAGTAAATTTTAGTTTAAAATAATTGTCCAATCCTACATCTAAAAAAGATAGGTCATACTAGTGTTTATATTAGAATTGGTTTATTAAAATTATAACATAGAAATAACAGAATAGTAATACATTTTTCATGATCAATACCAGTATCTGGTACTCTAGTAACATCAGTCTCTGATCTTACATTGATTATATAATATATAAGACAAAAAAATAAATTGATATAATATTTACCTATATTTTAAAAATCCTGTAGCACATGTGTGGAGCAATGAGATAAAACCATTATCAATGTGTAATCTGTAACAGAGCACAGATCTATATTTTCTTAAATTTAAGTACTTGAAATACTAAATACTTACCTCTCCGTAATTAAAATTACATTATATATATTTTAAAAATGATTTAAATTTTTCAAAGATAATGATTACAAAATTACTTTTGGCTAATTACAAAAACGTCAAAAACTTTTATGAATTAATAAAAATATAGATAAACATACAAGTAGTAAGCCCCCGTTGAATAATGATTACAAGCCCAAGATACCAAATGTATAGTTGAAAAGCGCCATCTATTAATAATTAAGAAAACGTCATTTAAAAAAACACTTATTGTACAAGTGAGAAACTCGAACTACTAACACTAAGGTCTAATATAGACTATAGTCTGATACTCTGATCTCTGATATAAATAATAAATATAATAAATTTAATCATATATAATAAATAATAATTATAACATAGATCATGATTCGTTAACATAATTATATCAGCTTTAGAAATGACTAAGACACTAAGTTACCACTGTGGCAGTGGCAGTGGCTCAGCTATACATTATTTATAGTAGGTATATTCTTTAAACACCTTTAAAATAATTTTATTTTTATAATTATTCACTACAGTATAAAAGACAACTTCTATAATTGTAATATGTGAATTCTAACAAAGCAAAACATGTATGTGTTACATCTTTTAAAGACACAAATTCAGTATATACCTATTATTCGTCATAGAAGAACTAAGAATAGAAATAAAAACTTTTTTTTTATTCAACGTATTTGATAAAGAATTAAACGCATATTTGATTTACTGCTGTTTTAGGAATAAAGAGTTAAAAATGTTCGGTTATTATTTTAGGTCGTTTATTGGTATTGTGTTCTTTGTATTTTTATTATTAATGTTTAATGATCATTTATAAGGTTAAATTATATAATATATTCATGACAAAAACGTCAAAAATACTTTTAACTTTAAATAATAGGATAAGATGTTGCAAATGTATTTGTCATTTGTCTATTTAGCAGTTGATATAAGCTTTATTTTAAAATCAAGTTTACTCCTTCGATGAAATCTTCGTCTATATAAGTACGTAGATCCATTTTGTTTCAAAAACAAATTATATTTAACATTAAATTAATATTATGTTTTTTTTTAATAATATATTTAATATATTATTATTAGTAATTTACCACTCAAATTATTAACATAGCGATAGATTTTATCTAAATCATTATTTTAATTATTTTAAGTATTTTATTAAAATTTAAAAAAAATTAATAAGTAATAAGAATAACCACACTGGTTACAAAGCATAACCGCATTCGAAATATTTTATTGTTAGATGTTATCGTAGTAGTTTTACTTATCAGTGGACAGTGTTCAATTTTCATCTTTTTGATAAAATATTAGTAAGCTTAATAGTTGAAATTGTTAATTACATGTTTTATTTATTACTGTTAACGCTAATTTCAGTTTGAATTCTGACTTTTGTTAATTTTTATTATAATAGATTTATTTTCTCCTCCTGTACGCGAAAGATGAGTGTTATCGAAAGTGTTGATAAAGGAAAAGGGTCACGAATGCAATTGAACAAATCGTTGAGCAATACTGCTCAGTGGGTCAAATTGAACGTAGGAGGCACTTACTTTATGACTACAAAGACTACGTTGTGCCGAGATCCCAATTCATTCTTGTGCAGACTGTGTTCAGAGGAATCCGATCTCATTTCCGACATGGTCAGTTGACAATTAAATAAATATACAATATATGTGTTCGTTTACAAAATTCACTAATGCCTGACGTTATTTTTAATATTAAATTGTTGTATTTAATGAGCAAAATTATATTGTATTATTGTAACCATTTTGTACTCACACTATCCACTAATGAATTATTGGTCAATTTAATCATGATTTTTCTTGTCAAACAATTGAATGTTCATCAAGCTACAAGCATTGCTTTTACTTATTAGAACAAATAATAACTCTTTAAACTTTAAAAAACCTTCTGCCCCATCAATCTATTTATGATTATTTTGAAATATATTAATATTTAAAATATGGGCTGAAACTTTTGTTATTTTGTTTATTGATAATAACACTTCTCTAATTACTACATTATCATGACACATTAATGCAATATATGTTATTAAAACTGTTTTTAGTTAAGTAAAGAAATAAAATATTAAATTATGTTTTATTTGAAATATATTTTACAAACCTTATTACCATGTAAAACAAGTCTTATCAACTTAGTTTGTATGTTTCTGTCTGAATTTTAAATAACTATGAAAAATGTATTATAATTAGTGGTATAGCCTGAGGGTTTGGTTGCAGCCCTTCCATAATTTCAGGAAAATTAAAAAATGCTCCCAGTATTCAATGTACTTATTACGTATTAAAACTTAATATGTATAAAACGTCATAAATGTTGTATACTCATAGCTCAAGTATACTAATCTTATGTGGGATTCTAGTCAAGTCTTCCTTATGAAACAAATTATCAGCCCCTCAAAATAAAATTCCACTTATGCCACTGATTAAAATGTAATACCATTAATTTTATTTACATAAATTTAAATAATTAATTTAATTTTTAAATATATCATAATTATGTTTTAGTTAATTAAAAAAAAAAATTCTTGTTTTAGGATGAAACTGGTGCATACATGATTGATCGTGATCCAACATATTTTAGTCCCATTTTAAATTACCTTCGTCATGGAAAATTGGTTTTGAATAAAAATCTTGCAGAAGAAGGTAATTTTGTATTTATTGAAAATCTTTTATAATTTTCATATAATGAGATGTTAATAAGTAATTATCTTAATCATCTCTCAATAATATTATAAACATCAATTCGTAAATATTTTGTTTTGTTTTTATTTATTTTTTATTGAACTTAAACCCGGTGACTAGGGCTTACCTGTTGTAGGGGTTATGAACTAAGGGTAGTAGGGATACAGTAGGTTGTTTTTACGATTGTTATGGTTGTTACAGTTGATAGCAAACACGTGTATGTGTGGCAAGGTTTTTAACCACTATGAACCCGAGTGATCACCCATCGGAAACTAGTAGCTGTGGTTGTTACTTACTCCCAGTCGCATTCCGTGACTGATAGCAGCCAACACACCATGCCAAGCCACTTTGTTTCTATTAATAATATACATTTACGCGATGATTCAAAATTTATAGTACAACCATTATTAATGAAAGAGAAAAATATTTAATACAAAAGTTTTTTTAATTTAAGAATATCTAAAATGATAATTAATTTTTATATTTTATTTTATTTTATATTTTTTTTTTAGAGAGAAGGAGTCAACTTAAATTTAATATTGGATACCTCTATTTTTTTGTAATTCTAATGTGAAAAAAAATGTTTAGAGTAATTTAGTACATAAAAATCGAAATTTGTATGAGTAATTATTGAGTTATAACTTTATAAGTATTATAGTTTAAAGAAGCAAAATAAAATACCATTAGAATATACTAAAAATATTAGTCTTCTACTCCAGTTACTTACACATTAAATGTTAATAACTCCTAAAATATTTGTCCACATTTTAATTTTTGTATTAAATTTTTTCAAAAAAATTCTTTACATTATGGTTGAAAATAAAGTATAAACTCCCATTTAAATTTCTTAAGTTGGCCCCCTAAACCTAATCCCCTAAAATATTATAAAAAAAATATATGAATTAATAATCATTTTAGATATTTCTAAATAAAAAAATGTTTGTATTTAAAATGTTTTTCTGTCATGAATATTTTATTTTAAGTGTGATAAAATAGCTATAATTCTGTATATATTAGAGGAAGTCTATTATTAGGCCATTTTATTGTTTACCTAATATTTAAAATTATATTTTTAGGTGTATTGGAGGAAGCCGAATTCTATAATATTACCGAATTAATAAATATACTAAAAGAAAGGATATTACAAAGAGACAAGAAACTTTGTTCTGAACAAGTGAAAAAACATACTTACAGAGTGTTGCAATGTCATGAAGATGAACTTACGTGGATGATTTCAACAATGTCAGATGAATGGAAATTTGAACAAGTAATATATAATCAAATTTAGAACCATTTACTATGATTTATTTTCCGCAAATAACAACTTTCAGTAATAATCATAGGGTCCATAAAAAATTCCTTCCCTAAATTAAATGTATTTATTGTAGAGTGGTCACTAGACTAAGATATAAGTATTAAGGAAATCTTTCTTTGCAACTTTAAGCAGTCTTAATACCAACTATGTCTCATAAACCAGTATTTAATGCTAAACAATACATCCAGTTGTAGGAAAAACATATTGAGTATTGACACAGTTTGAAATCACTGCAGAGTGCAGATAGCTTATAATTGATCACACTCAAGTTAACTAACAGATACTATTTTGTACGTGCTTTATATAGGTTATACTTTATGTATATAGTTATAGTAGAACAGAGCAGTGCATAGGTATAATAATTCTATTAAACTACTTTAAAAATTAGTTGAGCGAATGGGTAAAATAATACTGATGGTACTGCAGAGTGCTGAATCTTTTTACTATTATTTTATTTAAAAAGAATATTAATTGGTATGATAAATTAGAAGAAGTTAGTAGATCAATCAAATTATTTGGATTGCTTATTTCAATTTCATTTAGTGCCATTAGAATAAAAAATAATAGGTTAATACTAAGTAATAATAATAACTATTAACTATTAGCAGCTCTAATAAATAGGTTAGTTTAAAAAGAAAATTACAATGGTGATGAATAACCCCTAATTTCCTTCTCCTTCACTTCTGAACACACCACTGTACATTTGTCAGTTATCTTGAACAGTCAAGCTAATTAACGATCATAGATATAATCTATTGATGTCTTCTATATACTGTTGAGCTATATCCACTTGGGACTACATTTTTATTATTTACAAAGAATAAAAATAATTGTTGTTATGTTATAATGTTTTTATTATTTGTTTTTAGTTGGTAAACATAGGTTCCAAGTACAACTATGGAAATTATGATCAAGCAGAATTCCTATGTGTTGTATCTAGAGAAGAGGGTGTTGCTGACTCTCCAAAAACTGAATCCACTGATAAAGCAAAGGTAATTTATTACAATTTCGACATTTTCATTTTTGGTAACATAGTTTGTAATTTCTGCATTTGATTTTTTATTTCCATATACATTTCCAATGGCATATTTTTATGTAAATTATTGATGAGTTTGTAATCATAATCTATTAAACTCAAACCATTTGCAAAATGTTCTATTGCTTTGGTATAGTCTTTATGCACCATATATTCTTCACCTTTTTGAATCTGTAATACATAAATATTGATAAGTTTTTTTTTCATTTGATGAGTATTATATTTCTGTCATTTACTTCTCGAATCACAAATTTTTTTATGTGTTTGATTTTATTGGATGCAGGAAATGTTAACAATCGATATCTTAATTCTTCTGTTTCTTTGAGTTTGATTTCAGCTCTCTTTTTTTCTACCTTATATTTATAACATTGATCTAATCTTCTTTTCTTATCAGAATTAAATAAAATAATACCTATAGCTGTTATGCCTATTAAAATACATAAACTTCCATATGTTGAAAACATGTTAAAAACTTAAATAATAAAAAACAATTAACAAAAAATAATTTATTAAATACAATTTTTAAATTTTGTTGTCATAGAATTTTATAAAACTATTTTATTTTACATTAAGCCAAATTATGTACACTTTTTTAGGAATTACAACAACGAGCTTCACGTATGTGATATATGCAGTCAACTAAATCTGTAATCATGGGAGCATGTAAATTCTTTAAGACAATATATTCTGTAACCAAAGATCTTTGCAGCAAATCTGTTATGAGATTTACTGCTGCACGTCAAAATGCTAGATCCTAGCCTCATAGCTTCTTTATTATTACGCATTAATTTTAAAATATGTGTAATATTGAGAAAATCTATATAACCATGCACAAACACAAATACACGTACATAAAAACAAAAGTACTTAAGTTCCAAACTTGAATATTCACATATTTTATAATTATTTTTATTACTACATCTTCCAAACCTCATATTTTATATGTAATTAATATGTAATATACTCTTTATACTTTTATGTTATGACCAATTTTATAAATTAAATTAAAAAAATTGTAATGATATAATAGTAGTTTCTGAATTTGCATACATTTTACAATCTAATTTTTCAGGTTTAAAATAAACAAAATCAAGTTTTATCTCTATTTCTTTAAATTAACTGTGTATTTGATTTAGAATAATTATTAATAAATTATTATTTTGTAAATTTAACTCGAGAGCGTATTGAATAGAACAAACTAACCAACCTTTACAGGCAATATACCAACAAAGATAAACTATAACACAGTTATTTACTATTCCTGATTTTATCCCATAATGGAAATCTATTCTATACGCTCTTAATAGAACTGAGTCTGTAAAAAAAATTAATATTAATGTTAAGGTGCTTTTAAATTGAATAAAGTCATTTTATTAACCGTATTTTACATATAATTATTGCATTGTTCTATTGCAATTAATTTTTACCATACTTTTTAAGATTTTAAAAAAAATTTTCATTCATTTTTATTTCATGAACCACTGAATTAGTGTTGTATTTGTGTTTAGATTTTAATGTTTCTAATTTAAAAGTTGTATCCAAAGTTTTGGATAAGTGTAATTGAATTATCTTTGAAAGTATTTTATATTATTACTCTATGATTTATTTAATTTAGAAAATATATACTACAATAATTAATAGTACTAATAATACCATAAATATTAATGGAAATTGTTTATACTTTATATAATTTATTTTAATTTTTTTTTTATATAATCTTTTATAGTATGCATTTAATACAATTGAATTTAATTTATAATAAACATGAATTTGTTAAAGTGTAGTTATATTAGAATAAGATATTGTTATACATTTTTGTCACCAGATTGTACTATCATCCTTTTATGCGCGATCATGTGTTCATACAAAGTATATTGAAAAAAAATAAAATAATCGATTTGTTAAAAACCAGTCCAGTATTTTTTTATTCAGTGTTTTAATTAAAAAGTTGAATTATACTTGAATTCTATGTTAAGTAATAGATTAAAAATGAATGTACTATTATGTATTAATTTCATGTTTAAAAAATAACTGTTATAATGTGTACTAAAAATTATAGCATTTGAATGAAGCAAAAAAATAAAAAGAATTGGTTTTTAATAACATAAAAAAAAATTTACGGGGTCACAATCGATAAATTTTTTTCAAACATGCAGTCATCTTATACATTTTTTACGATTTACTTTAAGGAAATGTATGGATTTCGTCTTCAAAAAACATCATGAATTCATGAAACCTGCTTAATAATAGAGGCACATTATAGGGAGTCTGAGAAAAAATCTAAAAACTATTTCCATGGTCTATGAAAGTTGCTGCAATAGTCTTAAATTGCATTCTATTGATTTTAAATTTTGTATCTTAATTTTATTGCTCATGTACAAAAATTTACCACAAGGAGAACAAGTATTGGAAATCAATACTTAAATACTTAATCATAGATATATTATCAGATATTAATTTTAAACCTGTCAATACCCAACAACGATTGCTGAAAGACAGAGCAGCACAGTCGCACACTTTTCTGAAAATAATTTTATCAACAAATATTATTATTTATTTTGTGTACCAAGTATAATCATATATTAAATTTAATCTATGGTACAGTTTACTACAATTATAACCTTTGTGTTTGTTTACTAATTATACCGATCTGAGTTAATTTGCCAGAAAGTATTTTTAATTTATTTTTATGTTAATTCTTTATACTATACCTATTTGCGCCATTTGCGGGTTACTCATCGCGACTTTGCCCTCGAAATATTAATAAGTAGGTATAGTGTAATAAAAAATAATTTATGGCTACAATTTTATAAAGCTTCTCTATAAGCTACATTAAATGCCAAAATTACTAAACTTGTGGGGTTTACTGACTGCTCAATCGGCAGTCCTCGCCTCACTCTTCAGCCATTAGACCGTTACACAGTACACACTAATCTAATTTATAATATTTATTTATGATATTTATGTACATTGTACCGGTAAATGGTAATCATTCACTGAAATTTCGTCATCTGCGATCTGCGTCTCTCGGTTATTCAGCTATAACATTACGATAACTACGGACAACGGATAAGTAATCCAATATTCATATGGTAACAATGGTGACTAATGAGTAATGACTATACTCTGTCTAACGAGCCCAGCGAGGGGATGCGCGAAACCGGACCAATGTTGGTCGGCGCGCGGCGCGTTTTCTAGCTGAACCGAATATAGCTGCGTAGTCGACGAGGTATTATAAACTTTATTTTGTTATGCGGTATGCACCTAGCAACTGGTTAATAAAATCGTACCGCAATAATAGCACTTATTTACGAAAGTACGAAAATACGTAGAACGCAGACAAAACTATAAACATTTTCTAAAAATTACAAGCAACATTAGTCACCGCTTACGCTCATTAATATTAAAAAAAAATTTTAACCTAATATATTTTTGAAGTTTTAATTATTTATTTTTATCACATATTTTAACGATTCTCACAACATATGATATTATGTGAGTATGTGACATACGTATTTTGATCCTTTTTTGTTCATAAAAATCTGTGCTTTGTAAACAACACCAAATACACTGAAAAAGCGTAAATGAATGAATGTTAAGTATTACAACTATTAATTTAGTTTTATAAATACTTTTGCATAATCATGACCAGCCGATGTCCATATATGTATTTTTTTTTTTTTTAATTGATTTTGTTTTCGAACACAGTTCGAAGTACCTACTTAATTTTTAATTATTAATTAATAATGAAGCACATAAAGTTCAATAAGTGAATAATAATAATATTTAGGTAAAGGTACTATATTTGATTTTTATGAATGTATAATTATATTAATATATATATATGTATTAAGTCTTGAACATTCAATTTAATTTTTAATAATTTCAATGGAATTTAAGTTGTTTACATAATATAGGTACGTTGACATTAAAAATTGTGACATTATGTTCACTAAAAAATATAACATGTAATTATATAATCTTTTCACTTTTATATGTATTACCGTTTATATTTATATTTATTAAAATATAAACAAAAAGTTCGTACAATATATTATATAAATGTTATAAACAATGCAATATTGCATATAGATACCTATAAAACATTTTACAACAGTCTATTATGCATACCTACTCAATCATTATATTTTGACGACAATATTTTTATTTTTTCATCGATGTTGCTTCAAAATGACAATTAAATAAATAAATTTAACCTACTTTAAAAATGACACGATCATTGTCTATCGCATCAAACCTCCGTTTATTTTTGAATAATACGTTATTATTATTTCTGTTTCACATAGATATCTATTATGTACGCGCAATGTTAAACTCGTTCGCGTGTTCGCCTTAAATTATGGGGTGATGCGTTTGCGAATTTTTAATTGTATGATAAATTTAACTATGTCTATATTATTATGACTGACGTTTAAACGGTGGCCCTCGTGCTACATTATGTATGTGTATTGCAGTATTATTTGCAGGTATATAAAATAATATAACGCGCGTACATAATGTCATAATGTCGTAAATGTTAGGTAACAAAAAATACCGATACGATCTTATAATATATTATTATATGTGTAAACATTGCGATTATTATTTTAAATATAATACTACGGTCTACGTTAGTATCCACCTAGGTGATGTTATTATTATTTATCGTTGTCATATTGTGTCCACTCCTAAATGTTTTATGTACCTATCCATATAATATAGGTACGCTTACATAATACCCATAAAGTTTTTTAGTGTACCTGCGACTGGAGTGCGTGCTAGTGCCTACCTATACGTAAAATAGACCACCGAGACAACCACGAAAGCATAGTGGTATAATATTATGTGTTCTATTTTTTTTTAAACTTCATTCATAATACATGTATTTTAAAATTAATTATAGCAATACGCATATGTGCTAATATATTTTGTGATCTGGACATGCATGAAGAAAAGCAATACTATAAAACACTTAGGTTGGATTTTATTTTTTTATTTATTTATAAAAATAATTTTTTTTGTACGGCTTAATTAATTTTAATTAAAGCTTATGTTTTAGTACCGTTTTCTTTTTGGTCTGTATGGAGGGTTGCTGTCAGAACCAAGAGCAGAAACTAATTAATTTCAGTGATTCACGAGTCTGAGTGGAAACGTTAATAGATGATTTCATTATGCACTTGAACATTATGATATATTATGTGACTGTGATGCCTACTACTACAGGCTACAGCACACTGACGACACAACCGTCACAACCGCGGTGTCTTTAATAACTATTTCTGAACAATACAATTAATAGAGCTGTTCTTGTGGAATGAAATTCCGGCCGAGAATTACCATTATGTCGGCCGTGCACGATATCAGAAAAAGTAAACATAACTCGGTGAGTCCGAGCACACTAGTCGCGCAAGAGTACAGTGCGAGGGAATTCAACGAATATCTGAACAAGTTAGTCTCGGTTGAAAGTTTATAGCAATATAGAAAACGTGTTTTTTTATAGGTACTTATATTGTTAAAATATGTTTGGTAACAGCTAATATGCGAGTATAATATGATCTACATAATATATAGTTATTAGGCATTAGCTATTGATTGCAATATATAAATTATAATGTATATGTACATAGTATGTATACTATTATAATATTATGTCAAATTGCAATAAAATAAAATAAAAAAATTTAGTATCAATAGACAATAGTTCAGTGTTGTGTTAAAAAACTAAATTCCCCTAATCATTGAGCTCCTGAAACTGACGTATATAATATAGTCATCCTCGAACCTTGATTAAGAGGGATGAGTTTTAACAATTTGAAAATATGTATAAAATTCTAATACCTGCAATACAGGTCCTGTATATACGCAGGTTACAAAATCCATATTTCATTTTTTAACTTTATACCCGTCACATTTAACTCCCACAGAAACCGCATTAGATGCATCCATCAATGCATTATTA